TCCAGGAGAAATTACAGAACAGGGTGTGTGCAAAGGAGAACAAGTCACAAGGCAACCCTGGCAAACTGAGGAGCCAAAGGCCTGGAGAAACTGGACCTGGGGTAGTCGCACGGGCACCTTTCCTGAAGCCCAGGCAAACTTCTCCATCACCTCAGGTTTTTCAGTTGCTTAGAAGTTCTGAATGGGACACGCTGAGAACAACACATTGGCTTCTTCTGACAATTTTAATTTGTTATTTCTTTTTGAAGAACCCTGCTAAAATCAATGGAAGGCCATCTACGTTAATTAAACTGTGCTTTGCTTCCTAAAGGTGAAGCTCTACACCAACAGTGCAGAACCTGGAAGCAGCAAATACAAGAAGAGGTTACACACACGTACTGCAATAGTTCGCTTGTAGACACACGTCCCACTGCACCCACTTACAGCCAGCTGACTCTGTAATCAGATGATCAGCTGCTTTCTTGAGATCTTTAATTGTCCTGATGATTATTTATTTCTCCAGCCTAGCAACAGGTTTCAACTTAAAACATGAAACCCCACTAAGAATAAATCCATCATTTTGCTATGGACTGTGCTCACTGACACACTGCCTAATGTATCCCCCTGGAACCACCAGGAAGTCATCAGCTTTTGATAAAATTTTGGAATTAGTGACAGTAGGAATTGCTACAGTGCATTTCTGGAGGGATGACTACTCTGTCAGCAAATTAGCCAGGACACCATCTGAAGTCTAATCCTGAAACTGCTGAGTGCTCCTGAATCATTTCAAAAATAATTTTCTGAAAACAGCAAGATCCTTTGATGAAAACAGCATGTTCATACACACTCATGTGTCTCTCATCATAGTCAGATCTACTGAGATATGTAGCTTACGGCTCGTGAGACATCATGATTCCCTTTTTACTGTTATTTCTGAAGTATGTCCTCAAAAGAGGCATTTGCCATTTCAGACTGTGTGGTTTCTGCCATACAGTTCCTATTAACGCATGAAAGTAGGCATTTAACAATCAAATCTGGCATCTTACTCACAAAGTAGGTGGTTTAAATTTTTCAGTGTGGTGCAGTTCTAACCTGAAACAAACACAGTAACTAAAGAAGAGCTTTTTATGACTCAGGAGAGATAAATTAATGTATACATCAAATAAATATCTTACTTAATACGGAAGTTATATGCAACATTGAAATTATTTTTTTCCTCAAATACATAAAGGCTGTAGTTGGAGTTATAACTGTGTTCATTTTCTGTAGCTAATCCAGAGGTAGCATCTACGTAGATGGACAAAGTATCTTGCAGAATGAGTATTAATATAAGAGAAAGGAGATCTAAGTTGGTCTTTCTGCTCTTCCATGAAGTTGGTAGGTGGCCTTATGTTTGCTTCTCAAGGGGGCTTCTTCCTCTTTCTCTCCATTTTTTATTGCTTCTTTACTTAATTTTTAACTGCCAGGAATCCATTCAGGTGCCACTAATTATTGTTAGAGGTAATCTCTTCAAAGTATGGAGCATGGAGGAATGTTTATGCACTAAACTTTAACAGCAGTTAAACCATCAATCTGTCAGTGTCAAAATACATCAGTTCAAACGTTTCAGACTCTGCCTCCCTGATTTTAGGCTTATCATCTGGTCTGAGAACAGAAAGTACATCATACCGTGTCTTTTCAAACTCAGCAAGCGTGGTAGGACCACGGGGTAGCTTGGGCTGTAAGAGACCTCAGGAGCTCATCCAGCCCAAACTCTGGCTCACAGCAGAGGCTGCCAGCACCAGATTTTCCAAACTGTCAGGACTTGGCACCACTGCATTCCTAGCCCAGAAAAACAGCCCCTCTGCAGCACACTGAGAACAGGATGATCCCACGGAGCTCATGGAGAAATATAAGGAGAGAAGAAACATTTTACCCCAAATTTATTTGTGATACAACAGGACTTCTGCTCTCACAAAGAAGTGTCATTGGCGTTTATTTTGCTTTGTTTCTCTGAAAGAGGGCACCTCAGGTGGGATCTCATAACCTGATACTGACCTCGTGTGTGAATGGCGGAGAACACCTTCTACTGAATGGTCAGAAACTCAATATATGGGTTCACCCAGTACCCAGAAATCCAGTTTTCCATTATGTTTTATTTTTCCTAGTTGCACACAAGTTGCTTAACTGCTCACTAGCTGAAGCAGTACCAGCAAAGCAGTTTACCAGCAAAACAGCACTCAAAGGTGAGAAACAATGCTCCGCTGCAGGTCTGAATGGTTTCTCTTACTTTGGCAATTTCTTTTGAGGAAATGAATTTAGAAAGCAACCTCCACCTACTCTCACTGCTAGCAAAGATAAGGAACAAAATCCAGTGAGATTTTCCAACTGCACAGCCCACACAGCCCATTCAAAAGTTTCCTCATCCATTTCTGACTGGAGGTTCATTAAGGCACACTGAGAATTAAGCATTCATTAGATTTCAATGAGGCTTATGAGTGCAACAGGAATGTGCCAGGACACATTTGGCTTTAAATGGCTTCACTGCAGTACCCTTCTAAATGAAAGCTACTAAGCCACCATAAATTACATTAAAATTCTTATGAAAATGAGGTGGTTCTTACGCTTTAAGATTTACAGCAGCCCTTGACCTACTGCAGAGCACAGAGATAACTGCAGAATCTCGCAACACAACACATAATATTTTTTACTTGGTTAATTAAGGACAAGTTAAGAGTAGTTTGGCTCATCTAGTGAAGGCTTTCTCAGCCTTTGTTCTCTTACAGTTTCACATGGCCGGACACATCGCAAACAAATCACTATCTAATGCAGGGCTGTGGAAAAACTGGATCATATTTTCAGAACTGGCGTTTCACAGAATCACAGAATCACAGAATCTTAGTGGTTGGAAGGGACCTCTGAGATCATCGAGTCCAACCACACAAAAAAAAAAAAAAAAAAAAACCAAAAAAACCCCCACAACCACAAAAAAAAAAAAAAAAAAAAAAAAAAACCCAAAAAAAAAAAAAAAAAAAACACACCCCTCTCTCCCTGCAAAAAAACCCCAAAGCCCCAAACCTAACCCCCCCCCAAACCCTCCAATCTTCTGACTGCTATAACAGATGGCTAGTAATCACACTATATTGGTGTAAATGTCTTGCTATAACCAAGATTTTGCTGATTTTTAGGACAGGCACTCAGTGTAACAAGTCACCTTGAGACAGAGTTCACAGGGTTGTTCTGCACACACATCTAGTCTGGTTTTTTTTCTGCTGGGCAGATATGAGTCGTTGAATGAAGTGTGATTCACTTCTTACTCCCAGCAGCCAAGCAGTACAGCTGTAGAGCTGCTGAGCAGGTATTGCATTGCGGCCTCAAGGTACAGCAATCAGAGGAAGTGAATTGTGTGGTACAGGGAGCATGTTAAGGAACTTTATGCATGAACTGTTATAGTAGATATGGTCAGTTTTGCTTTACGTTCCAGCCTCCTCTTCTCCAAACTAAACATGCCCAGTTCCCTCAGCCTCTCCTTGTAGGACTTGTTCTCCAGGCCCCTCCCCAGCTTGGTGGCTCTCTTATTAAGGCAACTCTTAGGTATGACTCAGGCTTTTACTGATGGGGAAAAGCTAAAAAAGAAGACGTCATTTCAAAGCCGAACCACTAGAGGAAAGTTGTTCCCTGTAACTCAAGCGCCGCTGGAATCACACAGGGAAGGATGAGAGGGCATAAATACAAAGCTACTTGTTTACAAAGAAAACTCCATTTTCATGCAATGAACATCCCAAGAGTGACCATCCCAAGAGTGACCATTCTTGAGCGTTAAGTGCTGCTTCCCATGGCCGACTGGGCCAGCGGCCGCGCGTACAACTGCCGTGTGGGGCTGTCAGTGGGACTGCACGGGCAGGAGCAAAAGCTCCTGTCAACATTTCATCTGTGAAGCCCTCAGCCCACCCTTTGGAACCCCTGCCTCCAGATATGACTAGTCAGCTCATGGATGACCGGGTGCAGTCAGCAAAATAGTTTGATATTAGCATAAATCCAAGAAGTGTCTATATCACCTATTTACGATCAAATATCAAAATATTACGAGTAAGTACCAAACACAGCAAAGTGTTTCCCTTTCATTGACAGCCTGATTTGGTAACGAGAGTCCTGTCTGGACAACTTTGATGTACCGTTCAGTGGAAAGCCGTGACAGCCCTTACGCTGCCATCCAGCTCAGAGGAACCGTGACGGCTGGACACATGTTTCATAGAAACTCTTCTGTGACACTTGGCCGGCCAGAACACAGTTTGCATTCATGCAGAACTGCCAGCTTCCCATCTTAAAAAGTCATGAGCCAAGCTCCTACACTAGGGATATTCCACTAAAAAAAATATTCCGCTCGTAATAACATCTCAAAGCTGGCAATATCATGAATGACACAATAAAAAGAATGTCCACAGCAATGGCCATATTTCCAACAGAATTCCAGACTAAGGCAGCTGCACCAGGGGAACAAGCCCCCAGCACAAGCAAACTCTGCATCTTCTCCAACTCCCCTGACGTCAATTATGGAGGATAATTCCTATTGCTAAATCTGCCCCCTGAGCCCTTACCCAGCAGATTAAGGTGCTGCCCCGTGCCCGTTGGTGGTTCTAAACCCAAACAAATGTTGACTGTAAGGCACGGGGAAGGAGCGTAACCACAAATGACTGAAGCAGTTGATCATGTCTGTGGCAAAAAAAAAAAAAAAACCAAAAAAAACCCAAAAACCAAAAAAACAGGCTAAAAAATAATAAATATACTTGGTCAGGGAAATAATGTTTAGGAATTTATTTATTTGCTTTATTCTAAATATACGTGGGACGCTTAATCTTCAAGATTAAGTCAGATTGTGGTTTCTTCTGCTCTCTGGCATAACTAAATGCTTTCACGTATGCAAATGAGGCAAAAATGTGGCCTCTTTCAGCAGTAAAAAGTATCTGCCTGTTGCTACCTTAAAATCACAGCAATCACATCTGGTAACTGCCCTTTTCTCATGTTTCCACTAGTTTTTCAGACTTCCTCTTGTGGTAGCTTGAGACTGCGCATCTGGATGTTTTAAACATACAAAGGAATTGCTAGAGCAAGCAAAAGGGAACGCGGTGCAGAGAGTTAAGATGCACAGATAAGCAACTGGTGCATCCCGCAGCTAAAGGAGCTGACAGGCAGACCGGGAAAACCTTCTTCCAAAGAGGAGAGCACCAGTTTAAGGCAGAATGAAGACTCACATTGTCTGTGGCTTCGTTTTTAAAGTGCTATTAATCCAAGTTTATCTTTCGAACAAAACTTTAGCTGCACCATCACCAATCATTAAGTTTCCTGGAGACAGCACTCCCAAAACAGACAAAGAACTAGCAGTGGTAAGTGTTGGTTTCATCTTTGCTTCAGATTTATATTGTTGTTTCATAAGCAGATGTTTCTTTCTTGTTTCAGCTGAGCTAAGGAATGACTGTAGCGTTCTCTCCCCAGAGTCTCTGGAAGTGCTAGCTAGCAAAGGTATCGGCTTTCAAAAGTTAAAACTAGAGCCAAGTTATGTTTCCTCTCTTAAAATTTTTAAAGCTGGCAAAGAAAGCTCTTTTTTTTTTTTTTTTTTTTTCATTAATTTTGAACATACAAAATAATTTCATTAAATCATCGTTGGCTATAATCAAAAGATTGCAAGGGTAAGACGGGAGAAGGGCAAAGAAGAGACATATAATGTTTTTACTTTGATCAAGTAGAAGCAAGGGCTGTCGAGACTCACTTCATGCCTTTAGCACAGCGCTCAGAAGTTTGTTTTCCAGATTGCTTACCGTGTGTTGCATAAACACAGCTTTAAGGGACAGTTACAATCCAAAGCTGGCTCGAGTTTCAGCAGCCATTGTGACTAGTTTCGACTGAAAAAAAAATCTCATCAGAGGTTTAATAAAATGGTTTTTTCCGAATTCAATCTGGAACAAAAAAGGGAGTTTGGATTTCTGTGACATTAGCAAATTATAGCTATAACTCTACAGCGTTTTATTCTAGCCTTATTTTAGCCCTGTGGACCTTCATAAAAATGACATTATGGGGAAGTCCATTTAAGGGAAGATTGAGATGGATTATCCTTATTTTAGCATGTAAATTACGGACATTTCTCTCCTTCAGCAGTAAGTCTGTTTTAAGGAAGATTGAGATAAATTATTCTTATTTTAGGACACAGAGGTTTGAAAGTTGGTCACTTTTCTTTAGGCGTCGGTGTGCATCTTGGGAAAGCCTGCCAGGTTAAAGGAGATCTGGGGGAGGGGAGAGAGAGAATTTCCAGATGGGAACTGTGGTGGAAAGTTTAGGAAAAACAGACAAACTGACCCAAAAAAAGGGCACTCCTCAGCCTTTAACAAAACAAATTCACCCAAGGTTTTGCCTTAGCAGCAGAGCAGCCAGGAGGTGGGGGGAAGGGGGTGGCAGTGTATGTGGGAGAGGAGAGTGGGGTCACACACGTCTAATCGTAATCTAACTCCTCATAAATAATCTATTTTCTTAGACACAGTCAGGCTTTTATTCAATAACAGCAATCCACATCTTCCCTCATCTCTGTTACTTTCGAACAACCTATTTATTATGTGCACTCAGAGGAAAATTACAAGCTGGTTTAACAGGGCAGTTCTCCTTTGTCTTTCCTGGAGCATTTCTTGGGTAACGCTCACTGCCTGCCTCCCCCTCAGCCCCTCCGCCTCAACAGCCCCAACACTCACCAGCGCAACACAAATTGCTGTGTTGCAGCTGGACCCTGTTTCATTAATGGGCTGGATCAAAATTCCAGATCACCACAGCTCCCTGCTGACTCTGGGGAAACTGGATTTTGCAGCCTAGGCCAAGATGTGGTTTACAGAGACACTACATTTTCTTCAGGATTCTCTTCTCATAGAACAGCTGGTTATGTTCATTTCTCATCTTCAGTAAAATCTCCATTTTAGGAAAAACTGAGAAGGGTCCGCATTTTATTTAGAATCCTAGCAAGTACAATTCTTTAGCATGCCTCATTTTATATTTTTGGTTGTATAGCTTACTCCCAAACCTAAAATGGCAAGAGCAGCATCCTGCTTCTTCAGTAAACTTCAGTTCTGCTGTATAGTCTATATTATACCATGGTACCTCACTGGGAGATGCAAACAGAAGCACAGGAAAAATCTATCAGACTACACTAAAATGTAAACTGGGATCAGAATAGATCCTCCAAACTGGCTTGTTTGATTATGTTCTTAATGCATTTCATGTAATTTCCACTAGGCCCCATTAACTATAAGCATACAGAAGCTTGGTGGTAGTGAAACCACTGTGAAACCATTCTGCATCCATTATTTGCCAGTGCCAGTCTCCACTGGAGAGATACCACGTCAGAAGTTACAAAAATGACAAAAACTAGGCATAGTCTGTGCTTAGTCAGTATGTGAATGGAGGACCTTCTGAAGGAAATGGTGTAACATCTTGATTAAATCCTTTTTCTGAGTTATCTCTGAACCATTTCCTCTGCAGGGTAGATGAGGTATGCCTGGACTTAATGAGGAGGGTGGTGAAATCCAGGCTTGACCAACTGTAATCATCAGATATCCTTTGCTATATTTTTCTGATGTAGTCTCCTGGGTGAACTTCAGCCAATTAATTAGGTATGTAAAGTAAGGTTTCCCTCATGAATACTTCCAGGCACAAGAACTTAGATGTGCAGTCATTTTGTCATGCTTCTTGCAATCCTGTCAGAAAAAATTCTCCCTGATATTTCTGATACATTTTTGGCAAATACACCTTTACCTTATTTAGGGTGTTCTCCTACCTTGGATTTGTAGTTCATATTTTGGATACAATGCCCAAAGGATGCTTCTTCCTCTGCTACAGACCGTTTTACTGGAAAGACCAGCAACCTGCAACCTTCCTGTCTAACAGCATCATTGGCAAGGGCATCTCAGCTCTGTGTCATGCTCAGCATCAGTGTGGGTGTCCTACACATCCCTGTGGGAACATCTGCCATTTGACATGGCTCTAGCTTTTCTTCTAGAGCTAGGCATAAAATAATGGAAACCCAGACTTGAGTGTGGAGTTCCTGAAATCTCTGTGCAGGAGAACCGTGAGATTCACTTTACTGGATAAACTCCAGATAGTTTAGTCAAGCTGTTTAGGACCTGTGAATGAAAAAGAATTAGATAATGTTAGATAATAATTGGGTTATTTTCATTATAGAAGTATCCAAATGAACATCTTCATCATAATCCATTTATCTACTCCTGGATGGGGATATAAATTAAACAATCTAAAGCTGTACGAAACCTAAACAGCGTGGCTGAGCCTACCTGTGCACCAGCCCAAGCTCAGGCAACAGCTGGAGCTACAGGTTTTCTCAAATCCCATCTGGATCCTGACACTGAATCCAAAGCCTCTAACCTGCCAGCTGCCTGCTCTGTGGCCATGTTTGTCAGTCTCTGGTTAGGAACAGAGCTGGTAAAGGATTTTATATAGTTGCTAAAGTTTTCTCATTTGCTTCTTGTAACCCTTTTTCATTTGACTAAGTTTTTAGGGCAGGTTTCACCACGTGCTGGAGACTGCCAGGCATCCTATCAGAGTTCGTCCTTACCCCAAGAAGCTCAGAGTTATTCTGCCAGTCAACACTGACCCTAAGGGAAAAAATCCTAAATACTAAATTGTTTGTGTGATCTCACTCGTGTATTGCACAGAAGGTGAGGGCCCCAGATGGATAAGCAGGACCACAGCTGTTTATCTACAGTTTAGTTTAACATAAATATGCAACTTCTCAAAACATCTGAAAGACAGGGAGCTTACCTGGAGCACTTGCCAGGGAACAGACTAACCCACCGCTCCTCCGGGATTAGAGGCAACAGCCAGCAACAGACTGAAATTTTTATTTTGAACTGCACTACACCTGCTAATTAGGTCATATTGATCAAAGTGGAAAGTGGAGGAGAGTTGGGTGGATATTATTTTAGATTAAGAGATGAAAAGGATAGATTCTTGCTGCCTTTTTGATGCACCACTGGGGTGTTTTTTTGATGACCACTGTTTTGTAGGAGAGCTAATTTTGTGATCTGCCACTGTGGTTGTACCAAAAAAATCAGCGTAGCCATAATCTGCTGGGGTGTTTGATGGAGTTTTAGATACGCAGATATAGATTGTCTGCAGTGTCCAGGCAACTGAGATGTTCCCAAAGTCCACCTTCCTCAGATCCTTGCAATGGTTGAGTCAAAAGTGAACACACACACACATTCAAATAGCTCTGTGCAGTTTGAATAAGCAATAGGAGGTTTTTTCTTTTCAATTAACATGGTCTCATTTGTGAGGTTGCTTTGATACCTTGGCAAGTTTCTCAATAATCCATAGAGTCTTCCAGGAAAAAAAAAAAAAGCACAAAATCTAAAACTGTAAGCAGATTTATACATCATAAGGAAACCAAAAAAGATAAACCCATTTTTACTTTGTAGTTCTACATTAAAGCTCAATGCTCTACTTATTAATAAAGCAATTCATTAACTAAAGGTGATAGCTAATAGTGGAAGTGATTGCTTAATTAGCAATGTTGTGTGATCAAGGATGGTTTGTGTCAATTAAGGAGATTCTGCTGGTGTCTCAGTTACTAATAATAGTAATTTTGAAAATAAAACTTGCAAATTACAGATGGGAAGCTAACATGGAATTACAGTATTTATTTGCAATGATTAACTATTTCTTTTATGAATGTTAAAGTCTTTGTTCTGTGATTTTTTTTCAAGCAATACCTGAATAAATACTATGGGTGCCCCAAAGACAATTGCAATTTATTTGTCCTGAAAGACACTTTGAAGAAAATGCAGAAATTTTTTGGGCTGCCTGAAACTGGAGATTTGGATCAAAATACTATTGAGACAATGAAGAAACCGCGCTGTGGTAACCCAGATGTAGCCAATTACAACTTCTTTCCAAGAAAGCCAAAATGGGAAAAGAATCATATAACTTACAGGTACTGGCTGGTGGTGTTGGGTTTTGCTCATACATAACCTTTTAAGAACCAATCGAACAAGACACTTGGAAGTGGAGTAGCTGCTTGTTGGGCTGGACAGGATTTCTTCAATTATCTCTTTTTGTGTTTGGATAACTACTAGATGTTTTAGCAACCACCTTGGAAATTTCAAATTGTAAAATTTCAGGAATAATCAGCTAAAGCTCAACATTACGGTTCTAGTTGAGACTAATGAGATTTGGGGTTTGCTCTTTGCTCTGCTGCAAGCATTCCAAGGGGAGCAGATGTCCCTCAGCAGGGACCACAGTACCTACTGACTGCAGAGGCCACGGAGGAGGACAAACTCCACTGCGTTCGGCAGTCATCAAACAGACTTTAAAACAAAACAAGTGTATTTCAGATATGTACAGACATGACTTAAAGCAAGTTTTTTGGAATAGTTTTGGCATGTTTTCATTTCTTACTCTGAATAGTTAGAGACCAATACACCTCTCACTGAAGTCAGTAATAAAAAAACCCCACCATTGCCTTAGATAGTCCAGGAACAAATTTTTAGCACTGATGAGAACAAGCAGCAGATCTCTCTTAGCTGCTTGGTCTGCTGCTTCCTCACAAGTTACGACCAAAAGCATCCCTCAATCTGCAACCAGCCTAATAAACACTAAAAAAAGCCCATGGCAGCTCTCGCAGCCTCCACTTTCTGATGGGCTTCCTCTGATTCTTCCTCATTCTCCTTAGACCCAAAGTCGTTTTCCTCACTATGCACAGCAGCAAAGAACTGGAGACTTGCCTTTACACAGGGGCTAGCTGGCTGTAATATAAGACACTAAGAAGTTCAATTTTAATCTATGAAAAAGAAGAAAGCAACGCACTTAAGAGTTTGTCCTTTCCCCATGCCAGGCTTATAGCTCTACCTTGAATGCTTTAACCTTCTGTTCCCCCTATTGCCAACGTCACCGACACACTGGGAAGGGATCAGCATTCAACTGGCATGAAACAATAGGAGGCTTATAGCTCTACCTTGGAGGCTTTAACCTTCTGTTTCCCCATGTATCCTATTGCCAACGTCACCGACACGCTGAGAAAGGATCAGCATTCAACTGGCATGAAACAATAGAAAGGTCACTACATGGGTGAGGGAGAAGGGCTGGGGAGTTGTTATTAAAGAGCAAAACAACCCACACTTGAAAGTTTCAGAATGTTATTTACCTCTTTTTCTGGCAAATAAATCTTATCTATCAAGATGTGGTATCAAGCTAAGTAGTTACAAAAATGTAAACCTCAAATCTAATGGAGCAAAAAAAAGGTGATGTCTTGCCAGCACCTCAGCACTGTGCAAACCCCGAAATGCTTTGCCCAAGGCCCATGGCCACGCAGGCTCCCCAGCCTCTGGCTGTGTCAGTTTCTTCATGCTGCTGCCTCAGTTCTAAAGGAAAATAAATAGTAAGTGCCACATCTAAAACCACATCTCAGCCAAAGGAAGGTGCCTAGCTCTCACGTGGAGCAGCCTTACCTCTTAACTGGTGTGACTACTGAGTCTACTCAGCATTTTGATCAGTAAAGAACAAACACGGGGAGGGGTTTTATGTGCTATTTAACTCTTCCTCTTACCTCTCAGGATTATAGGCTACACTCCGGATTTGGATCCTGAGACAGTAGACGATGCCTTTGCTCGAGCCTTTCAAGTCTGGAGTGATGTCACACCGCTGAGATTTAACCGAATAAACGATGGAGAAGCAGACATAATGATTAATTTTGGCCGATGGGGTATATTTTTCTATTTTTACATATGTTTTTGGTTTTGTTCCTTTCATTAATCCTTAGTATTGGAATGATCTACCCTCAGCAAGTAGTACCCGTGAGCCTTTCTGGCAAACCTTGTCCTAGCTTGCACTTGGCTTATATAAGCTAAGATCTAATTTCACTGAGATATTCTTTTTTCTTTCTTCTACGTGAGAGAGAGAGAAGTATTTATACAATATCCTTATACTATATTTATCTTTCCAAATGAGAATTGCTCGGGGCAACATTTTATTTTTAAATTTACAAATCAGAAATAGAACTGGGAAATATTGGTACAGATCTTCAGATGCTGGGAGCTGGCTTCCCCCACAGCAGAGAATGGGATGCCATGGTACTGTTTGTTTATAGTTCCCTACTCGGTTTTCCAGTGATAGTGGTGGAGGTCCTAACATACTGGAGCTGAAACATGGATTTGTGACTTCCAGTTTTGACTCCATAGCTGGTCTGTGTGCACAGCAGAATGCAGGCTTTCAATGTATTCACTGGCCTTGAGGAATTTTAAAATATGAATTTTAAGCTGAATTATGTTTTGAGTCCAGCTGATGATAGGTGACTTCGTTTTATTTTCATTGTACATGCCTTCTCAATTAACTTTCATTTCCCATGAAAGAAAGTTTATAGCTTTTCAGTGTAAACCTGGAGGATTTCTACTTCTTACAGACAGTCACAGAATTTTTAATACTAATGAAGGTACTTGTGCAGCCAATCACTTGGGAGGTAGGCTTTGGAAGCAAAGTGAACAGTTCAAAGAATAACTGAGCTCTTTGTAAAAGCCTCCATTTCAAGCCGGTTTTCTTTGCTTTAGCTACTGATGAGTTGACCTCAAAAGCTTCAGAGATTCTGTACAGAACTCAAAACTTCAGATCCTCATCCAGGCTGGCTTGGTTTGCAAAAGAAGTCTTACAAAAGCAGAAGTGTTACTGCTGATTTTAGTACTTGCTGGTTATAGTCAGCTCAGAAACAGTGGGAGAACAGCTTCTTCCACATTCATTCTTTCTTATCACTTTAGTAAATGTCAGATCCACGAGAGCTGGGACATCCACAAGGTCTTTCATTTTGAAGCTTTCTCTTAAGCACAGGATCTACTTTGAAATAAATGGGAGTAAAGCATCTAATATATGTCAAAATCTTCTCCTTGACAACTGACACACTAGTCTACTGAAATGAATGAACTGAACTAGCATTAAGAGAGTGACACCAGCATGAAATCGGTGTAACAGAGTAGAGAATTGGGGCTGTGTGTTTAGGGCTTCTGTTAAATGGCAAGACATCAAACCAAGAGGCCTGAAATGATGCAACTGGAGGTGCTGGCAGCCAGCTTTGATGCACCGGTCAGTGTGGTGGGAAAGCTCTGAATAACAGGGTTATGCCCTTGCCAGCCTGCCTTACCCACATGCGGTGTACTTCCAAGAAAAGCCTACAGTGCAATAACAGGAGAGCTACTTAACCTGCTGTTGCCCTGTGAGCTGTCTGAGCCTCGGAGTGGTTGATGTGGGGCAGGAATAGGCTCATTCAATGGGCCTCAGAGCGTTGAATAAGAGCTGGCTTTCTAGGGACCCACTCCTGAGACACTCACCTGATTTGCTTTCCTGCTTGAAGCTGTTCGTATCCTGCACAAAGAAAAGAGCACAGCAGTCTGAGATGCAGCAGAAAAGAGTAGCCTGCAAAAAGAAATCTGCCTTCACTTTCCAATCTCCATGTTGGAAACTGATACAAATAATCTGAAGAAACCCCTCATCTGCAATGTTTATTTTATAGCTCCTACCAGTGTCCATTGAGACACAGCAGTGTGTCGTACATCTCATATACAGTATTTCACTGTTCTTCACTGTCTTTGATTCCTTTCCACAACACTTATGAGATATAAAATACCACGCTGTGACAACTGCAGTACTGACACTTAACGTTCTTTGTAAGAACTGGCAGCTTCTCTTCTGGTTCAGTCTTGCCAGCACAACCCACACCAATAAGCTCACTCACTGGAGTATTCTGCTGCTGTCTTGGATGGGAAAGTACACACGATAGTCATCACTCACGTACGGACTCTGACAGAGTCAAGGTCATTAGAAACTGGTCTTTTTTGTCTGCTTCCTCCCGCAGAACACGGCGATGGCTATCCATTTGATGGCAAAGACGGTCTCCTGGCTCACGCCTTTGCACCGGGGCCAGGAATTGGAGGAGACTCCCACTTTGATGATGATGAACTGTGGACTCTTGGAGAGGGGCAAGGTACCAGACTTTTTAATGTTTCAGAACATATGGCCTGCTGGCTGCTATGTTTTAATGCTGTTTCAGGCACTGCACAAAATGTTTTCATTGACACCTCAATAAACGTTAGGGGATGAAAATTAATTTATACAATTTGAACTGTTCTCTACAAAATGTTTAGGGAATTCCTAAATAAATGTTACCTAGGATTACCCTTTCCGTTCTTCTACTGTTGCACCTTGAAAACCCGAATTAATAATGGACCCAATGCTGCACAACCTTTGTGAATTGTGGGAAAAGTACAAAGCCACAACTATGATTTTGAACGCATCGGTTCTCAGGTACCCAAACCACAACATCCTTTGGGTCATTTGTAAGAGGCAGACTGGGCAGTGCTGTTCAGCTGGCACACCCTTTTAAGATGACTTAAGCTGTGGTTCCAGTTGTTAAGAATTGAACCATCCACCTTAATAAGGATTTATATACTCATGTCAAAAAGAAATCAAATATAAACCCCTCAAACTGATAACTGAAACAAAATCAACATCAAACAGTGGATTAAGACCAGCTCCAAGAAGCTTTAAGAGAGAGTTTGCTCTACCCTTTAGAAGAGAGCAACTGAAGTCCAGCTGGTATGACCTGGAACCTCTTTTTTCTGTTTGAGCTTTGCCACAATCATATATTTCTAATTTTAATCCTTCCACTGTAAAATAATTTGGAACACTTAGAATAAGAATTCAAACTCATGTTTGCCTTTCATTTCAAATTCTAGTTTTCTCAGCTGTCCTCCCATTGAAAAAATAGTTGGCCTTTAATACCAAAATAGTCAAGTTCCTTCTGCTTGGCTTTCTTTTAACTTCAACAGAAGCACTGACCAGTATATGTAGCAACTGGAGTGGATCCCTGCCTCAGACTAACTATAAATAGGAGGAAACTGTTTTCCATATTCATGGAAATACTGCACAAGCATCCAGTTGGTTACTGCCATCAAAAGAAATGCTATGGATAAGTGAATTAGCTATACATTAATATATCTTACAGCACCAGCACTGCAGTTTTAGGACTACACGTGACAAAGTGAAATAAAACCCAGGACCTGGGTGTGTCTGTGCCCCCAGTGCCACAGCAGATCTCATTAAAGTCAAACTGGAAATACCAAAGTGGTTTATGAGGCTCAAGGCATGTTCAGCTCATGCTCAACTGCTGCCTGGAACCTTTAGAACTATACTGAACATTTTAGACCATATTACCAAAGAAACTAAATTACTAAATGCATTAAAAGTATGTTTATAGGTTTGCATTGCCATAGCAACAATAACATATATATTTTTCTGGGCTGATTCTAAGCACTGTTCACTCTAACACTTCACCATGAGTAATATCCATGTAATTCTTTCAAAATTACCAGTTATTATTTCAGCTATGATCATCTTGCCAATGGAGAGACCAACAGCATATTGAATTTCAAAGTGGAAATTCAGACTGCATTTCTATACCAATGTCCTCCAGGAGAAGAAGATTTCCATAAACTGTATTTTTTATATCAGTTGGTGGCTAATTTCGTCTCTACATTTGTTCTCTTTCTAGTGGTTAGAGTGAAGTATGGAAATGCAGATGGTGAATACTGCAAATTTCCCTTCTGGTTCAATGGCAAGGAATACAACAGCTGCACAGACGCAGGACGCAGCGATGGATTCCTCTGGTGTTCCACAACCAAAGACTTTGATGCAGATGGCAAATATGGCTTTTGTCCCCATGAGTGTAAGTAGATCATTGTTTCCACTTTTTTCTCCTGGTAGACTGTTCCTTACTTATTTTGCCCATCTACTTTGCCTTGTACTTTTTCCACTTCCTTTCTGGCCAATTTAGTTTTACTGGTTTTAGTATCTCCTCCATATCTAAGCAGACAAAACTCCCTGTAGGCTCCCTTGGTGTAGAAGAGTTTGTAACTGACCACAACCCAGGCAGAGGCATTTCTCTAAAAACAAGGACACGTTGAAGGTATGTCGGAAGCACTGTTGGCCCCAAATATACATCAAAACCAGTACGGGTTCAGTTTCATGATCCAGGAAAGACAACCACCTTTTAGAGTGAGAATAGGGCCAAATTTGGAGATGGTGCACACTAAATGACAGAAATCTCTCCCTAAGTTTCAGGCTATTTCACTAACAATTGCAATTGCATCTCCTTCAAGAGCAATGACAAAAACCAGCAGCTTAGGATGAAACCCATTAAGCCAAACCATTGTGACTTTGCACACCAATTTTACCAACTGGCTATCCAGGTGCTCTGGGAGCCCTTTTGGTGCAATGTAAGACTGTTACTGTCACAAATCACCCTTCAAATGACCTCATACTGTTTCTCATACTATGTTTATCATTTCAAGTGAGTATCTGTGGGGTACAAAGTTATTTATATGTTGGTACATTGCAAATCCCTAGCCAGGAGAGCACTCACATTTTTAGAATTTAGGTTTTTATTTTTAACACAGGTCTTCAGATTCTTACTCATGAAGCAGTTCCAGCAGCTCACTTTAGACACAGGAGTGACACTATATTTCAGAAATCATAACTCTGTATCAGTGTCTGTACAACACTGTTAGAGGCTCTAGAAAAGCAATGATCATATCTAATTGCTAACTCTTTGGAATCTGAACAGAATCCTCCATTTCACAAGGAATTTATTTCATATTTGGAATCACTCATTTACAGGTTAGACAATGTGTATAATGCTTTCAGGTAGCCGTAACTTTTAAAAATACTGAATTTCACTGAATTTTTTAGAGTTGGAAGGGACCATAGAGATCACCTAGTCCAACTCCCCTGCTGAAGCAGGATTGCCCAGAGCTTGTCAGAGCATGTTACTCAGGAGCATCCAGGCGGGTCTTGAAGATCTCCAGAGAAGGGGACTCCACACCCTCCCTGGGCAGCCTCTTCCAGGGCTCTGCCACCCTCACCGTGAAGAAGTTTCTCCTCAGATTTGAGTGGAACTTCCCATGGTCCAACTTGTGCCCGTTGCCCCTCGTCCTGTCACTGGGAACCACTGAAAAGAGTCCGGCTCCATCCTCCTTCAACCCACCTTTTAGAGACTTGTTGGCATTAATCAGGTCTCCCCTCAGCCTTCTCTTCTCCAGGCTAAAGAGCCCCAGCTCTCTCAGCCTTTCCTCATCAGGGAGATGCTCCAATCCTTGAATCATCTTTGTTGCCCTTCGCTGGACTCTCTCCAGCAGTTCCCTGTCCCTCTTGAACTGGGGAGCCCAGAACTGGACGCAGGATTCCAGTTGTGGCCTCCCCAGTGCAGAGCAGAGGGGGAGAATGACCTCCCTTGACCTGCTGGCCACACTCTTCCCTATGCAACCCAGGATTCCGTTGGCCTCTTGGCCACAAGAGCACACTGCTTGCTCATTATCTTTCACATAAAATTATTAGAATATGTTTCCAGTTAAACATTGGGAAGATGTATTTATGTGCTTGAAAATCTTGATGAGTCTACTGGATATAAGATTCTGGACAATTTATTATTATATGAGTGTTAATTTGATCTCCTCTAGATCACGCAGCAGGAAACCTTTAGAGATGCAATTTAGTATAATTGGCTGTAGACTACCGTGCTAATTTATCAGCAGTGATAAGAGTAGAGAAGGTAAGGAGCTTTTAGCCACTTGTTCCACCCCATGTTTGCCAGCTCCAGTGCTGGCACCTATATTGGCCAACGCTCCCAGAACTGCAGTTTCCCACATTCACTTTTTTCCCTTTGTACATCACCAACTACTACAAGCTTTTGGCAGCAGGGAGTGCTTCATCACCCTTGTTACCTTACATCCTGAGCAATGGGCCCACAGGGTCACTGAAACTCCTGCTGGCTACCGCTGTGTCATAATAAATAAAAACAGAGTTATGAAAGAGAACGAAAAAGAAAATAATGGAGCTTTTGTTGGACTTATGCTAATCCTCCTTGAATAACAGCACTAAACTTATTCATAATGCACGCGGTCAGTACAAGGAAAGGGAGTGCCAATTGCTGAAACAAAATTAGTGATGGTTAAGATGTTAAGATGTAAAGCTAACAAAACAAGACATGATCATGGTTTGCCAGACCAAGAATGCACAAGTAAAGCCCAACATGTCCCAGGCAAGCCTCAATGAGCACTATAAACACACGTGTTCATGTGTTAATATGTAGGTGTCAATTAAGTACACATAATTTTTGAAAAGATCACTGTTGTGTATGTAGAAGTAGTTCAGATACTCCGTCCTCAAAACTTCTCTAGTATCCTATTGTAGCCAAACACTAGATGGATTCTTGCTTGACAAATTCTGGGGATTTCTCAAGTGCATTTGCAAGACCATGGAATTTCCAACATCATAGAATCATGGAATCATAGAATGGTTTGGGTTGGAAGGGACCTTAAAGATCATCGAGTTCCAGGTGTTCCTGGGCAGGGACATCTCCCACCAGACCAGGTTGCTCCAAGCCCCCTCCAGCCTGGCCTTGAACCCCTCCAGGGATGGGGCAGCCACAGCTTCTCGGGGCAACCTGGGCCAGGGTCACATCACCCTGAGAGGAAAGAATTTCTTCTTGAAATCTAGTTTAAATCTCCTCTCTTTCAGTTTAAAACCATTCCCCCTTGTCCTCTGGCTACACTCCCTGAGAAGGAGTCCCTCCCCATCCTATGGAAGATTACAGATTTTCTGCACTGGGATGCCAGGGGTTTCCAAAGATAATTTGTTGTAGAACATATCGGTCTTCTAGCCCTAATGGGATAAAAAAAAAATTAAATATTCTTTTATTTCCAAAACCCTAATTGCCCATTATATGTCCTATCAAGAGCTGAGAACTACCATGGTGACAGCAATTTGTACAACTATACGGGATGAACATGCGGAAGTGTGAACTTTTAACAGACTTCAGTTAATTTGAAAAAAAACAGTTATTGTTAGTTACATGACTTTTAGAACTAGCTTCTTCAGCCTAAAGTTTACTTCGACAGATACATGCATGCACACACGCATATACACACAATCATTTCTTCCTAACAATTTGCCATCTTCTTCATTCCCCACCTTTCCCCAGATCTCTTCACCCTCAGGTTAATCCTTCCAGCTGTAAAAGAACAAAATTAGGCTTATTCCTTTAGGATACTCTAAGTGCTTGGATATAGTCAGAATGAAGCCTGGATTATAGGTAGCTGGACAACCCAAGATCCACATACCCTGACTGATACCTTTGTAAATTCCCAAAGTCATACAAGACTGAAAATGTGAGCAGTGAAGCACTCCCAGGGAGAGCTAGTTCTGAAAGCTGAATGCTTGTGTGAAGGTTTCTGAAATGGAAAAGAAGGGTTTCAGCCTTTTGTTTCTGATGCAATTGTTTTGCAAGATCCTTCAAGTTATGAACAGATGTTTCTTATTAAATTCAGAGCTGCATTGTTCAGTCATTACTCCAAGACACCATTTGCTAAAACCCAGCTAATACATTCAGATAGGGAGGATTTACATCATAGAGCTAGTGATGGGGGCAACATTCCTAGTTGTCAGTGATTCTCCCCTGTTTAATTCACTGTAGTTAGTTTCAATTCTTGTTATAGAGCCACACTGCATATTTTGAAAAAATTCTTAAGCTACAGTGTTGCGTTAGCCTCTTCTAAAGTTAATCCCAGATCTGGAATTTTGTAAACTGATTCTGCTGTCAAAGCAGAAGGAAGGAAAGCAGAAAGTTACCTACCTACTACATGAGTCGTATGCAGGTGTGCTGAACCTCTCCCTTCCCATGTGGCATCAAGGGACCTCAAATCTCCACTGACACTACAGAGAGTTTAGGCTCCTAACTTTGGTCCTCAGGTATCTAATGTTACTGAGACCCGTGCTCTGCCCGTAGCTCCCTCACACTGGGCACAGTTCCTGTAGGCTGCTGCTCCACTGCTCTCCCAGGCAGAACCCTCCTGGAGCTGCAGGTCCCTCCACCTTGAGTCTCTGCCACAGGGCTCTCAGCAGCCTTCCAGCCTGGGGCTTCCTCACATCACAACTGGCTGATTTCTCCAGGAAGAGCTAACAGTGCAGTGCAGCTCACAGATTAGTAACGTCCAGTCTGAATCTCCTCTCACATCAGCACATCAGCACTGATTTTTAAATTGCTGAGCTTACCACGATGGGGAACAAGGGTCAGGCCCTTTAAGATCCCCTCACAAGTAAATAAAACTTTTGTTTTGTTCTGGGGGAAGCTGACCTAGTCTCTGTCTTTAACTTTCATTTACATTAAAGCAAAGAATGTTCTAGTTAAGGCTGGGGGAGGATTTGAAAACTTAATAAGCTGTTATTGTAACCATCACATGATGTTACCTCAAGCAAAATGAAAAATTGCATTTTGTCTGTGACTCAGAAAGACTCCACGCAAAGCAGTAAGAGATTGACTTTCCATAAGGTTTTTGCAACTTAGCCACATTTAAACCAACAAAAAAAAAAGGCTATTAAAATACAGAATTTGCCAGATCTAGAGCTGGAAGCAGCTCATGTGGTAAATGAGTCATCTAAACAACTCAGTTGAATTTTGCCTTCCAATTCTATCATTCCTTTATTAAAAAAAAAAAAAAAAAGTCTTTCTCCAATCACGATAGCCAGAGTCCTAGTTAATGCATGTGTCCTAACTTACTACAGCATTTGAGGCAAACACAAACAGTTGCAGCTTGCTCTTTTTGGGAGACACTGTGTGTGTGTGCTGCAGTTCTCTTTTGCCTGGAGACAGGACCTCTGTGTGGCTGCTCCCACGTCCAGGATGCAGGAGGACACAGATGAGAGCTGGGCCAGATCAGGAGTTCAGTGAACTCAGGCGTGTGAGCCAGGCCTGCAAAGCTCCAAGTCCTCTCCTCAGCGGAACTTAGTCCAGTAACATACTGGTTCATGCTCCCGATACTGTGACTAATTACTGATATAAGTGGAAAAGGCAAAATGAATCATCTATGTCACAATACCCCATCGTTAGAACCCCTCCCGATCACCCTTCAGCCAGAAAAGGTCTTGAGTTTTTATTTATTCCTAGTCTAAAAAGTGAAGCACGCATAAACAATGTCTCTCTTCCCGTTGACGTATCAGACTAAGCAAAGGCAAAACCTCTCAAAGCACAAACAATGAGGCTACAATGGCATTTTGGTCATCAAAAACGACAACAGCAAAGCAGAAATTACCTGCCAAGCCTTCCCACATACACAGTTGAGTTTTAGCTTTAACCTGGGGGAAGGTGAGGAAGAAAGGTGCCCCCTTGGGCACCTTAAAAAAGGCCAAATGGTGCATACTTTACACTGGGAATTCAAACAGATGCGTTGCATTCTGGGGTGCTGCTCTTAAATCTCCAGAGGAACTAGCTCATGGCTGCATGAAGGATGTTTTGCCCCTGTTCAGTATAAAGCCCGGCCCAGTTTGTTGCACTCATGGTTTCCTCTCACCAGCACATGGCACTCACAGACACTGCACCACCATTGAGAATCCCCACAGATGGGGCAGCCAAGGGAAGACACAGGCAGAGTCACAGAATGTCAAATGGTCCACACCACCTGGATCTTCATGTAATTCAATTTGGACATACTTTTATTTTAAATACCAGCATGAGAGATTTTATCTGCTTCCTCTAGATATTCCAGAAAGTTCACTAAAATCCTAAGCCACATCCCAGAACTCTTGACTCAGTTTAGTCTGTACTCCTTCACCCAGGAGAGAGATTTCTGGTTCTCAGGACTGAGCCCAGAGGTATTGTTTGCGGATGGATAACAAACAGCCTCTAGAAGGCCAACACACTACCTTCAGGAACACTAACAAAGCAAGAGACAGGAGAAGCCTCCAGCGTTCAGCTTTTTTGGGGAGTCATATTTGTCCTCTCTTGCTGATCTATTGAGTGCCTGAGCCCAGCTGCGGGGATTCTCAAAAATGAGAAGCAAAGCCTAGAGGAAAAGCCAACAGGTTATGATTGGACTTCAGCTCTACTGTATGTCAGCATCTTAATGAAACCGCAAATGTACACAGATGGCCGTTAGGAAAAACCCATCTGGCTTCTTTCTGGCTCTGTACAAGGTTTGCCATTCTAGCTAACAGCTCTGATGCAAGGTAAATGAACCAGCAGAGCACTAAGGAACATGAGTGACTTCCTCAGAATCCTCTTCCTAAACATTGTTTCAAGAAGGGATATTAATGTTATGAGTCAGGCTATAAAGGATATACACAATTCAAGCCACATTCAAGCAGCTTGAGAGAATTTTCTTCATTCCCAGTTCATTTATAAAGATCAATCAGCTATTTCTTCCATACACTTGTTGAGATTGTAACATCCCTGGTCTCGCTTGCCAAAGCATGTCGCTGTTGGTATAAAATAGAGGTTCTAAGTGTGAACTGTGCCACACACGACAGCTGCACACCTCTGCCAAGACCTCTGCACATTCCTGCAGGCACACCGTGATTCCTTGTTGATATTGAGCCTTGTGTATTGACTTTTTGTCTCTCCTTCTCCCTACAGCACTTTTTACAATGGGCGGCAATGGTGACGGCCAGCCGTGCAAATTCCCCTTTAAATTTCAAGGCCAATCCTACGAGCAGTGCACAACAGAAGGCAGGACAGATGGATACCGATGGTGTGGAACCACCGAAGACTACGATCGGGATAAGAAATATGGATTCTGTCCGGAGACCGGTAGGAGGAACACTGCTTGCAGCAGCCTAATTTGTCATTGTTTTAAATAACTACAGTCTCCTTTTTTACACCTTCAGCAGAGCACACAAAAGTTGATGAGTTAGGCACAATTTCAGCATAAGTGGCCAAGAAAGGGAGTGATCTATGTAACAATACGGTTTGCCACAGCACACTAAGTTTATCAGGGATACACAAATGTCATTGAACCATAGGACCAAATGTCTACCACTGCAGGATAATTACCCATAGATTACAATTTGTTAATGGCCCTGGAAGAGAAGTCCCATGTGATGGAAGAAAGCATGAATATTATTTTAACTTAATACTTAACATTTACACTTGAAAAAAGAAATCCTGTTTAATATGTTAAGCTTGAGTTAATGGATCTTTTCAGCAATTCAAAAGAACTAAGTGAAATGGTTTAGCCAAAAAAAAAAAAAAAGAGACTGGAACTTAGTCCAGTAACACACTGGTTCATGCTCCCGATACTGTGACTAATTACTGATATAAGTGGAAAAGGCAAAATGAATCATCTATGTCACAATACCCCATCGTTAGAACCCCTCCCGATCACCCTTCAGCCAGAAAAGGTCTTGAGTTTTTATTTATTCCTAGTCTAAAAAGTGAAGCACGCATAAACAATGTCTCTCTTCCCGTTGACGTATCAGACTAAGCAAAGGCAAAACCTCTCAAAGCACAAACAATGAGGCTACAATGGCATTTTGGTCATCAAAAACGACAACAGCAAAGCAGAAATTACCTGCCAAGCCTTCCCACATACACAGTTGAGTTTTAGCTTTAACCTGGGGGAAGGTGAGGAAGAAAGGTGCCCCCTTGGGCACCTTAAAAAAGGCCAAATGGTGCATACTTTACACTGGGAATTCAAACAGATGCGTTGCATTCTGGGGTGCTGCTCTTAAATCTCCAGAGGAACTAGCTCATGGCTGCATGAAGGATGTTTTGCCCCTGTTCAGTATAAAGCCCGGCCCAGTTTGTTGCACTCATGGTTTCCTCTCACCAGCACATGGCACTCACAGACACTGCACCACCATTGAGAATCCCCACAGATGGGGCAGCCAAGGGAAGACACAGGCAGAGTCACAGAATGTCAAATGGTCCACACCACCTGGATCTTCATGTAATTCAATTTGGACATACTTTTATTTTAAATACCAGCATGAGAGATTTTATCTGCTTCCTCTAGATATTCCAGAAAGTTCACTAAAATCCTAAGCCACATCCCAGAACTCTTGACTCAGTTTAGTCTGTACTCCTTCACCCAGGAGAGAGATTTCTGGTTCTCAGGACTGAGCCCAGAGGTATTGTTTGCGGATGGATAACAAACAGCCTCTAGAAGGCCAACACACTACCTTCAGGAACACTAACAAAGCAAGAGACAGGAGAAGCCTCCAGCGTTCAGCTTTTTTGGGGAGTCATATTTGTCCTCTCTTGCTGATCTATTGAGTGCCTGAGCCCAGCTGCGGGGATTCTCAAAAATGAGAAGCAAAGCCTAGAGGAAAAGCCAACAGGTTATGATTGGACTTCAGCTCTACTGTATGTCAGCATCTTAATGAAACCGCAAATGTACACAGATGGCCGTTAGGAAAAACCCATCTGGCTTCTCTCTGGCTCTGTACAAGGTTTGCCATTCTAGCTAACAGCTCTGATGCAAGGTAAATGAACCAGCAGAGCACTAAGGAACATGAGTGACTTCCTCAGAATCCTCTTCCTAAACATTGTTTCAAGAAGGGATATTAATGTTATGAGTCAGGCTATAAAGGATATACACAATTCAAGCCACATTCAAGCAGCTTGAGAGAATTTTCTTCATTCCCAGTTCATTTATAAAGATCAATCAGCTATTTCTTCCATACACTTGTTGAGATTGTAACATCCCTGGTCTCGCTTGCCAAAGCATGTCGCTGTTGGTATAAAATAGAGGTTCTAAGTGTGAACTGTGCCACACACGACAGCTGCACACCTCTGCCAAGACCTCTGCACATTCCTGCAGGCACACCGTGATTCCTTGTTGATATTGAGCCTTGTGTATTGACTTTTTTTCTCTCCTCCTCCCTACAGCACTTTTTACAATGGGCGGCAATGGTGACGGCCAGCCGTGCAAATTCCCCTTTAAATTTCAAGGCCAATCCTACGAGCAGTGCACAACAGAAGGCAGGACAGATGGATACCGATGGTGTGGAACCACCGAAGACTACGATCGGGATAAGAAATATGGATTCTGTCCGGAGACCGGTAGGAGGAACACTGCTTGCAGCAGCCTAATTTGTCATTGTTTTAAATAACTACAGTCTCCTTTTTTACACCTTCAGCAGAGCACACAAAAGTTGATGAGTTAGGCACAATTTCAGCATAAGTGGCCAAGAAAGGGAGTGATCTATGTAACAATACGGTTTGCCACAGCACACTAAGTTTATCAGGGATACACAAATGTCATTGAACCATAGGACCAAATGTCTACCACTGCAGGATAATTACCCATAGATTACAATTTGTTAATGGCCCTGGAAGAGAAGTCCCATGTGATGGAAGAAAGCATGAATATTATTTTAGCTTAATACTTAACATTTACACTTGAAAAAAGAAATCCTGTTTAATATGTTAAGCTTGAGTTAATGGATCTTTTCAGCAATTCAAAAGAACTAAGTGAAATGGTTTAGCCAAAAAAAAAAAAAAGATTCCCACTTTCTTCATATTTTTTAATATTTTTTAACTACATAAAGGAATGAAAATTAATTTATAGCCTTGTATAGCTTGGCAGGTGTACAATTTCAGGAGCCATAAGTATTTAGACTACATAAGTTAGCTACGGCAGATCCAAAATCTCAAGCTTTGAGCAGGGCCAAGGGGAAGTGCCATTGCCCTGGCTGCCCCCTTTGATACCCAGGTGTAACCCTTCAATTTTACCTTACAGGTGTTTGAAAAAAAAAATAAAAGAAAAGAAAGGATCAAATTCACTATAACTTGCTACATAGTTAAGAAGAGAAAAATCTAAAGGATAATTCAACAAAAGAGCCAATATATGTAGAATCAACATATCCTAGGTCCTAGGTAACACACTCTTCATCACTGGAACTGAAAAATACACTTAGCCTAAGCTTTTTTTTCAGCCTAAAAGGTTATTGCTTGAGGTAACTGTAATCTTTATTTTTAATTTCTGATAAATAATAATCAATGAGAAATAAATAATAACAAATTATTAGTAACACAACCAGCTTTGCCTCTGTTTTGCTCTCCTGTACTTTCCCTGAAGACAGACCATAATTTGAAAGGAACTGTAATTGCCAGGTGGCAGTGCAGATGAATTTAAATGAGTTTTATATTATCAGCATATTCTGTTTATGATTCCTACTTTAAACTGCAATTTTAAATCTACTTACACCGTCTTCCCTCTAGAAAATACGTGTACACACAGATATAAATGTTATTTCCTACATATTACTGTCACATACTACATAGATAAGAAGACACTTAAGGGAAAAATTTACAAGTTTTTGCAAAAATACTGGTTACAAAAAAAAAATAATCATCCACATTTGATATCCTTGTCTTTAAAAAATGTTTAAAACCATCTGCTTTTAAACTGTACCCTGCTGACAGCATAAAATAATTCCTCAATTTGTTTGTTATGACTCCTCTTCTGGACCTTTTGGGGTTTTTTCCTACTTCAAAGCTTATACTTCAGTAGGACACCTACTAACCAGGTGGATACTCAACAGCCCTTTAACTTTTCTGACACTAAACCTACCTTCAACCTATTTGAGACTCTATAAAACATCACCAGGAAAGACCATCCAAAAACACCTGCTACACAATCACCTCCCACAAATCCCTGTTAAGTGCTGCTTGCTCAGAGCTGTGAGCACCAGGCCGGGGCAAACTCTTATTCCCACCAAAACTATTGGCAAGTTCATTGCAATGGCAAAGCCTAGACTTTTTCTTTTTTCCTGTCAGACAATTTTCTTTTCAAACATTAATTTTAATCTGAATCCTCACGTTCTTAAGAGAATGACAGACTTTCTGCTTGCTTTGTATTTTTAATGTGTAGTTTAGGAGAAGATGCATCATAGAATTGTCTAGGTCTAAAGGGACCTTTAAGATCATCTAGTCCAACCATCAACCTGACTCTGATAAAAACCATCACTAACCCATGTCACTAAGCACTATGTCAACCCGTCTTTTAAATACCTCCAGGGATGGTGCCTCAACCCTTTCCCTGGGCAGCCCATTCCGATGTGGAATAACCCTTTCAGTGTCAAAATTGTTCCTAATCTCCAATCTGAACCTCCCCTGGCACAACTTGAGGCCATTTCCTCTTGTCCCATCCCCTGTTCCTTGGGAGAAGAGACTGACCCCCCCTGGCTACACCCTCCTTTCAGGGAGTTGGAGAGAGCGAGAAGGTCTCCCCTCAGCCTCCTCTTCTCCAGGCTGAACACCCCCAGCTCCCTCAGCCTCTCCTCAGGAGACTTGTGCTCCAGACCCCTCACCAGCTCCGTTGCCCTTCTCTGGACCCGCTCCAGCCCCTCAATGTTTTTCTTGTGGTGACGGACCCAAAACTGGACACAGCCCTCGAGGTGGGGCCTCTCCAGTGCAGGGGAGCGATCACCTCCCGGGTCCTACTCCCCACGCTGTTCCTGACACAGGCCAGGATGCTGGTGGCCTTCTTGGCCACGGGGAGCGATCACCTCCTGAGTCCTACTCCCCACACTGTTCCTGACACAGACCAGGATGCTGCTGGCCTTCTTGGCCACCTGGGCACACTGCTGGCTCATGTTCACCAACAGTTGACCAACTGCCAAGGTCCTTTTCTGCCAGGCAGCTCCAGCCACTCTGCGCCCAGGCCTGTAGCGCTGCCTGGGCTCGTGTGACCCAAGGGCAGCACCCGACACTTGGCCTTGTTTGAACGTAATCTTCTTAATCTCTCAAAAGGGACTCCTTTCTCACTGTGTTTTTCTGTCCTTTTCCACAGCCATGTCAACAGTTGGTGGCAATTCAGAGGGAGCCCCTTGTGTATTCCCCTTCATCTTCCTCGGGAATAAATACGAGTCCTGCACGAGCGCGGGTCGCAATGATGGCAAGCTGTGGTGTGCTTCTACCAGCAGCTACGACGACGACCGCAAGTGGGGCTTCTGTCCAGATCAAGGTAACAACAGTTTGTCAGAGCAATACAACGGTACCAGCCACAATACAGTATTGACCACACCGAGGACATCACTTAAAATGCTTTCATCCTCAGGCTTATCACTCCAGTCTGGTTACAGTACTTCTCCCCAGCCCCGAATCTGCACTAACCCCCTACCTTTAAATGTGAGGCAATAGTTGAGAAGTTGGTCCCAAAGCTCATCTGCCTGAAACATTCAGATGTTCTACAATGAATATCTTGCCAAAATACAAACCCCTTTAATAAATAAATAAATGTTTTGCTCATCACCACTTTTGCTTTCCAAGACTAAAAGCCACAAATACTATAGTATTTCACTAATATGTAAAAATTATACTCTGATATTGGCTGAATTAGGAATAAATGTTAAATGTAAAAAATTAATATATTTGTGACTGATGTTGCTGAAGATGAAAAGCACGTTTAAAAACTGAGACAGTATAACATTTGTATGGTGAATAGTGGTATTTAAAACTATTTTGGTTAATCTTTGTCCTTATTTGTAAAATGGATAAAATTAAACTATGTTTATTTTAAACAAAAGGAGTTCTTACACATTTACAAACAAATGCTAGATCCAGGTTTTTCTTTTATGAGCAAGATAACTGCTAAATTTCAGACTCTTTGGGTGTAATTGATAAAATGTCATCCTATGAAAAGAGATTTTTTTTAACCTAAGAATTACTGATTCAGGCTCTGTTGACAGACGCACAGATCTACAGACCTGTTTATCACTCGCATGCCATTTCCTGATGAAAAGTAAGATTTGAGGTCTAGATTACAAGCTTAATTCTTCTGTGCTTTAAAAAAAAAAAGCACAGAAATCTGATTTTATTTGCTACACTTCTTTTTTTTTGCAAAAGTATTAAGACTGTGGCCAAAGTCACTTGCACATGAGAGAGCACCAAACATCAGCTATAGAAAAGGTTTTAGAGTCTCTCTAATGAAATGTCATTTCTGGCAATATGTATGACATTCACCATTGGAGGCTGTAAAGGCTAATTATGATACTTATTATTGGGAGATTTATGATGGGTAGCAAGGAAAAAGAAATGAGAAGACTATGAATAACCTGTGTGGTACACTTCTATTTAGCTCTATGCAGCTGACACTATCTTGCTGTGTTATTTAGGATACAGTCTCTTCTTGGTTGCTGCGCACGAATTTGGCCATGCTATGGGACTAGAGCACTCGGAGGATCCAGGAGCTCTTATGGCCCCAATCTACACCTACACCAAGAACTTTCGGCTTTCTCAGGATGACATTAAAGGGATCCAGGAGCTTTATGGTAAAGTCCTCCCTCGTCAGCAGAACTCACCAGAAAAGTTTGCAGCACAGGTTGAAATGTGGGACTCAGAACTTGCAGTAAATTACATGCTGCACAAAAAACATGCTCTTTCCTTTCTCTCTCCTTTCTTCATGTTATTACCAGGGCTCCTACTTCAATCAGATATCACAATGTAAGGATGAGGGATCACTAAATTCACTGAACTTACAGAAGCCCCAAAACTCCCCATAACCAAACCTTTAGATGAAAATTTCTAATGCCTTTACTGGGACAATGAAATGCCACGTTTTTCTCTAGCTCGAAATACCTTATGTGGGTGGGTTTGGGTGTTACTATCTACAAGAGTCCGAGCTTTCCAGATTGTAACTCTCTATAATAGGGAAAGTTCATTCTTTCCTGTCGCAGCCTGGAAACAGTTCACATGGGCGTCCCACAACAATTCAAGCCATACATCACAGTAACATTTGCAGAGAGTGTGTAGGAGCTGATTCTTTGATGTAAATGTATTTGGCAAGCTCCTGGAGAAAAAGTGATTTAAGTTTTTTATGTTGGTACATTTTTAAAATTTATTATTTTCTCCATAGATACGCTTAGTAAAATGCATAAGTATTATTATAATTGAAGTTCCCTCCACGCATATATTTTCTACCCTGTAGAGGCACAAGCATACCACAGTCAATTAAGCAGTCGAAGAAAATCTATACCATTTCTCTTTCTGTTCTTTTAACTTTTCTACTGAGATATCTTCTTAATTGTGACTATATTCTACAGCATTCAACACCTTAGAAATTATAATGAGAATATACCAAAATGATTACCACATGAGACGCCTTTTTATCAAAAATCTGATTTGAATCTGCATTTTTTCCTTGTTCTTAGCTGCTTTAATTAAGACTGGGAGTTGAGACATGGGCAAGATTAAGTGAATTTTCTAAGCTTGCATGGCGCAACTTCGAAAGAGCTCAGAATTTAACCCAGTTCTCTCAAGACACACTTCAAAACTTGAGACAAAACTATCTTTCTTGCCTCTCTATACCTGATGGAATCCTTTAAAAACTGTTTTCTATATAAAATAAGTATTCCAAAAAGCCTTCATTTTCTTCCATTATTATTATCTCAAATCAGCTACACTCCGCTTTGTTTTATACAGTAAGTCAGTCTGATGTGTAAGAAAAAAGGCAAATGCCTCATAAGGCAATACAGCAGTGGCCAAAAGATAAAACAAAATAAAATAAAATAAACCAGATGGGAAAGTGCATATTCTGAAGAGGACATTTGGATTATTGATGAGGGCGAGAAGATCATACAAATGGCTCAAAAGGCATCTTTGTAACCTGCAAACTATTGGCACTTCTAGAAGAAGAGAAATCCACTTTGACATCTCTCTCAGTGGAGATGCAGATGATTCTGAATAGAAGGACTTTGAAACACATTTCTCTTCCTTTTAGAAGCTAGTAAAATAAAAATCGTAATGTTAACATTTGAGCCCAGTCTAATCACTTCTGAATATCTTTAAAGTTAAGTACGCAGCCCAGCACTCAGGCAGGCACGGGGTCTTGAACGAGGCCACACAGCAGACAAAGGCAGGACTGGAAGCTAAGGCCTTCTCAGCTCTACTCAACCACCCATCTTCTGAAAAGATTTCATGATAAGCTTCTTTTCCCCTTCAAGCACTGTCTCCAAATTATTCCCCTTCTATGAATTATGATAGTTCGCGCTCCCTGTGTCACCCCTGCAGCACCGTACCCCAGGGTAACAGCATATTTCTGTTCCCCATTACAGAAGTATCGACCGATGTGGAACCCGGCCCAGGGCCAGGCCCGGGGCCAGGCCCACGGCCAACCCTGGGGCCTGTCACTCCAGAGCTCTGCAAGCACGACATTGTCTTTGACGGAGTCGCACAGATCAGGGGAGAAACGTTTTTCTTCAAAGATAGGTAAGTGAGATTAAATCGCTTATGAATGGGGCCTCAAGTGGAGGAATCTGTCAGACCTATTGTTCAAAATCTAGAAATGTATTATCAGGCACAAACTCTGTCCTTTTGTGTGTGTGTGTGTGTGTTCAGAGATAGCAAAGTGTCCTAATCAACTCTTAAGGGAAAGAGATGGCTGGTTTTATGGTTAAATAGTATGGCCTTCTTTGCCACAAGGCTACACTTGGTCAACTTGGTTTCCACCAGGATCCCTAGGTTCTTTTTCACAAAGCTGTTTTCCAGCCCATTGGCCCCTGATACGTACTGCTGTTTGGGGCTGTTCCTCACCAGGTGCAGGACCTTGAACTGGTCTTTCCTGAACTGCGTGAGGTTCCTGTCATCCCAGGGGTGTAGGTGCCTCTGGATGCCAGCCCAACCCTCTGCTGCATCAGCCACTCCTCCCAGTTCCAAGTCATCAGCAAACTTGCTGAGAGTGCACTCTGCCCCATCATCCAGATCATTACTGAAGCTGTTAAACAGTCTTCCAACCAGTACTGACACCTGAGGTACACCACTAGTTACTGGCCTCCAGCTAGACTTCATACCGCTGACCACATCCTCTAGGCCTGGCCAGTCAGCCCATTTTCTGTCCACCTCACAGTCTGCTTGCCTCACCCAAACTTCAACAGCGTCTCTATAAGAATCTTATTAGAAACGGTCAAAAACCTTTCTGACCTGCTCTCCCCTCATCTACCAACCAGTCATTTAATCATAAAGGTTATCAGGTTGCTCAAGCCTGATTTCCTGTTTGAGAATCCATGCTGACTACTCCCAACAACCTTCACATCCAAAAGATTGTCTATAATTAGAGACAGGTGAGGTGATTATGCCATAAATTCACCTTTTCTTAGAGTTATTCTCAAACTTCTTTGAGAATCTGGAATTTTGACCTTCAGTCATTATTTTAGGCAGTTTTGTAGTGGTTTTTAGTTTCTGGCCTACACTGGAATTGCACATGCCAAGGTGCTACGACAGACTGCGCTGGTGGTAGTTCTAGCTAAAATCAGGACAAGGAAGTGCCACAAATAAAGGCTCATATGAAAAGAGGCTTTATTTGACACTTTCTTCCCAGTTTTAGAGATTTGAGTGCAAAATACCAACCTGCTGGCTTCTGTGGAATCACATAAGGGTTGCTCAAAAGGGTGAAGTGGGAAACATATCCAAAGTTCGAAATGCTTATGCAAACCAGATATGACACCTCAAAATCTGTATAGACTTATCCATCTGTAATATTAATCACAAAATTAGCCATGGAAGACATGCATTAGCCAGTCTATTGCCTGCCAAAGAAGGATTCATTCCCTATAAAAGATTTCCGGATGCTTTTTGTAGCAAAACCTACAAGGATTTCAGCAACCTACAAGTAATCCAGCAATGGAAATCCCATCACTTCCAGTGGAGTAGAGCTCTGGAGGCACTGTCCTTCCTGATTTCATTTCATTTAGTCTGCACTCTGGGGTAAAACTTCAAATCTGATTGCAGGAAAATTTCCAATCCTGGCTTCTAAAAACACCCCTACAAAAAAAAATAGTTCCTCCAAAGTTAGTGGCCTCTTCTATCATGGAGACATTGTTTTAGCAAATCTTCAGTTTTAGCATCGCTTTCATTATGATGGCCTAGTCCAAAGAAGATCCGCTCCCTTCCTGTGTTTGTAAAGATACAATTATGGAAATCTGTGAGCAAAATCTCGTGATTAAACCCTGAGTGGTTTAATCCAGGTTTTGTCCAAAATCATTAAATAACAGTATTATGTGACTCATGGCTGCTGCAATAACACATCAAGGACACTGGTGACTGGGACAGGCTCCATATGTGCAAGGGCTCCAAGGCAGAAGACACAAAAAGGCATTTTTGATGAAAGAGCAGAGACATTCCTGATAAAATGAGGTGGCTGCACAGCTGCAGCTCCCACTGCCTTTGCCAGGGCCCCTGTTACCCAGCTGCTCAGCAATGAAGAGCATCTCCTAAGGAGTACAGGACTTGGCAGCAGCATGGTAAGAGACACTAAAGCTCCTTTATCCCTTCCATAAATCAACGCCCAATTTGAAATCGTTTATCCTCAGTTACCCTGAACATTCTCCCAAAGCCGCTGAAGATCTGGGCACACATAAGTTCGCTGTGTGTGACCAAATCAAACACTGTTTCCTATCAGATAGGAAGACCACAAGCATCTGAAGCTGACAGAAGCATTATGAAGCACCTGTTTGTCGCTCCAGATGTCAGAGCTGAAATTTAAAAGGGAGCAAGAACCAACAACAGACCCCGCCTCACAAAACACCAATTTAATAGTTATCTGTATCTGCTGGTGGTGAGGTCCAGCCATTCTTCTCCAGATTTAAATATTCAGCAAGAAGACTGAAGGGTGAAGGGTTTATTGCTACACTGCACAGTTTAACTCTACTCCACCAGCTTTTCATAACAAAAAGACACGGGCAAGAAGGCAATTTTACAGTCTATGGTATACAGTAATTCCTTCTGTGCATTTCCTCTAGTTCTCATCTGTATGACACCCAGGTAACGGTGCTTTGGGTTTGAAGTTTGACTTCACCTTTATCATAGGCTTTGTGTTTTAGCAATGTAGAAACTGGGATTAAAAACCCCTGGTTGTAAGAACTAACGTTCCTCATTTCTGTTACAGCTGCTATAAGGCAAAAAGGGTTTATTCCACGTGCCTGTGGGGACACCTGTGATACCTTTTGTACTATTCCTCTCAGCCCCCTCAGCAGCAGGCTGATTCCTTGCAGTCCAGTGATCCCTAATGGCAAGAAATAGCCCTTTCTCAGCCTGTTGGCCTGACAGCACCAACAGACCAGGCTCACAAAAAGCCAGCACTGAATCCTCCCTCCACCAAGTTGCCCAGAGCTGACCCCACTGCCCTGGGCTAACAAGCTTGGCAAAACCAGTGCCCACTTTCTCTAGCATAGCCATCAGGGAGCCGAGGTGTTCACCTCAGCATCTCCAAAAGGAGAAGCATTCTCCCAGCAGCACAAAACCCTTCCCACAGTATTCGCAGCATTCTGATCCTCTTTGCTCACTTGTGGGCCTCGGTTTTCAGCCAGATCTCCACTTCACTCTGCTTTTGTAAACTGGGCACCACGCAAGGCTTGATCCAACAAGGAGCAGCTTAATATCTATTCCTAAATCAGCAAAGCGATTCAGTATTCTGTATAATCCCAACAACAGAGAAGTATTTCACATTCAGATACAGTCGGTCAAAGAACTATGCAAATACCAAACCAATCTGTTCAAACTGACTCATGCTTTATCTAAGAGGCAGCAAAGGCAGACAATCGTTGAATTGTTTTGCTCTGGAATGGCTCTGCCTGTCAGTCTCGCAGCTTTCCAAACATCAGGCAAAGCAGCATTATGACTCACTTTAGGAATTCCAAAAAACAGATGTCTATCATGTGTTGTGTGACTTTTATGATTCATGAAAATGACCATAGCATCCAACTGTCATATCACACAGGCAAAAGGACTAAATAACAAAAAAGGAGGTCAGATCACATTCTTTCCCAAAAAGTATTTTTCCCTCCCCCCTCAAACCATGAAAACAAAAGGGAATGACTGGGGGTGCTGCTGGCCAGAGAGCCACTGGACACAGAAGCCTCCAAGCAACAAGTGTGCCCGAGTACAGTATTTACACGGATGCTTTTGTTCTGAAAGGGAGCAAAAATCTGAGCTTCTGAAGTTTACCAAGACATTAAAAAAGACCCTTTACATAACTGCATGTAATAGTAACAACTGCAACAATGGAAAATCTTGATTATGTGTAATACATACTGTAACAAAGTACTAAATCTGTCTGTAAATGTAATATTAAAATTTAACCTGAATGAGTTAAAACATTTTAACATGTTCAGAGTGAAATGAGAGAGCCAAAGAATTAATTTCACCATTTCCTCAATAAGATGAGTAGAAATAAAAATACCTCCTATCCAATTCAAAAGCAAAAGAAAACTCAGCTTTGACAAAGTTTCCCTTTCCACGAGAAAACCTCACCGTTTTAACAAGTCCCTTGAAATATGTGCTTTAATAAAAACCCAGTGTTCAAGTCTCCATTGGCTCTGGAAAGTTTGGAATTCATGCAGATAGTAATTAGTGCTGACTCAGCCATAAATCAGGTCCAAATTTGATTGAGAATTCTGTTAAAGGAGCTACTTTTATGAATGCAACGTTAGAAAGAGTTGTTATATGGATTGCCTTTTCATATCATATTGGATCTGCTTTTCTGTCTAAGAAGAGATGCATGAAACAAATGTTATTACCTTTTACAGAGCTTCACATGTGTTTAAACACTATCAAGAGCAAGAGTAATCAGCTTTATATGCTGATTTAAATGCTTTATTCTTTGCCTCTTTTAAATGAAAGTTATGAGCTTTGGCCAGAGATTTTTGTACATGTTAAAAATACATATATGTATGTGAAATGAGAGTAAGTTAACATATTACTATCTTAATTATTAGTACCATATGTCAGGTTAAATTAATACATACTTTTTATTAAGAGACAAAAAACCCAGTGCACTTGCCCGTTGTACTCGTTTGTATCAAACACTACAGATTATCAGTATGCAGCAACTAATCATAGTTGCAAATGCATTTCAAAATCTTTTATTTGTCCTGGCTCTGCAGTCAAACTTCTGTTGCTACAAATACAGCAATTTATTAAATGAATTTAGAACTGCTCCTCTCAGTTTTAGGCAAAATCAAAATTCAATTGCAGATCCTGGTTTTCTCAAAGGTATAATTATTCTGGCTAGGAATGAGTAATGACTATTTATACTCTGCCAAAAATAAGGTGCCAGTAGCACCTTGAGCTTCAGCAACATAATAATGGTAAAAGCTGTTTGACCTGAGAATTGAATAGCTATAGCTTGGTGCAAGAGCCATTCCACCAGTCTGCTGGTTTTGTGATTTATGACTATGGCAAAACTTTTGTTCTGTTGTGGAAAAAAGTTGGTCATTCTGTGAAGGAGGAAATAGTGCCATTTTTAATACCAAAAGCCCTCAGCACAAAGCTCTGCCATTTAAAGATAATTACAGCTTTTTAAAGCTTAAATCAAATGATGGTCCTACTTTTACATAAAATAGGCAATAAATTACCCTTTGCATTTCTCTAATGAACATTTTTAGCGTTAGCAGTTTCTTTTACAGCCAAGCTCACTTCCACACAGTTTGATATACTGTTATTAAATTTGAACTTTTAGTCACTACAATAGTAATTGCAAGAGCAATTCATGGAATACAAATCTCTGCTTTTGTCAGCCGCTCATCCATCTGCTCCGTACGCAGCAGCAGGAGAGCTCTAATAGTTTAAATGCCTTGTAAATGAGTTTATTTGTATCCTCCCACCACAGAATACATTTTGCCCTGATGCAAAAAGCAACAGGAACTCCACAGCAATCAGGGCGAGCAATGTCACCTGCAGTCCAGCACGCAGCCTATTGTGCGTCTGTTTTAGCAACATGCTTCTAAATGAGTGATTTGGCTTTTCAGCCACTGTAGGAAAACAGTTACAAGTGTGTGTTGCTGCTAATATGTGTGTGTGTGTGTGCGCATGTGTGTATGTGCACGCTTACGCGGCCTTTGCCAGAAATGATGAGAAACAGATGTGCTGGTGAATTAGTTCATTGTAAATCTCCTACAATTTTCTGTTCTGCTCAGATTCATGTGGAGGACTGTAAACCCCCGAGGAAAACCCACAGGTCCTCTTCTTGTTGCTACATTCTGGCCTGATCTGCCAGAGAAAATCGATGCCGTCTACGAGGCCCCTCAGGATGAGAAGGCTGTGTTTTTTTCAGGTATTGGTTTTAAGTTTTAAAATGAAAGTAGTTATTTGCATAGATGTTGCATTTGAGCTGCTTTCCTCTGAATTTAAGCCGGGATCTGAAAGACTCTGAACAGCCTCCATTACAACAAAGGGGAGCTCTGAACACCTAGAAAGATGTAACAACAATATTAGATTAATAATAATAGAAAAAAATAATAGAAAGATACATACAACAATAAGCAAGACTAAACTAGACCCGTTATTTAAAACAAAAAGCAACAACACTGAGAGCTCCGTTTCATCACTCACTGACCTGTTTTCCTTCTGTTCCCTCACACTTTAGGCCGTTGTCTCTGTACTTGTTGCTTGAGAAGATTAGACCTTTTTCCCCACCCTGTGCCTTTCCTTGTCTCTTCCTCCTTTGCCAAAGACTGAGTTCCACTCTGCCTTCCCAGTGTCTGCCTCGGTGGCCCATCAGGCAGAGGAGACGGGGGGCCGTGTGAGCTGCCTCCATGGGAGAGGAGGGTAACGGAAAGCCTTCCTCCCTCCCTCCTAAATCACACATATGGCTCAGCTGTACTGGCCAAATTAGCAGAGCTGGGAGCCTTTTCTCAACAGGAACAACTGAGCCAGCAAAAACTGGGCTCCAGTATCTACTAAAAACATGACTACACATCTCCAATCATGTAAAAAACATATGGCCAATGCTGCTGTACATTTTCTGTACAGGAGGGAAAAAGTAACAATAATCTATTCCACATGTCTCAAAAGCCATTTTCTTTAGTTTACATGGAGAAAAAAAAAAAACTTAAAAAAGTTTTATTTCAACCAAGCCAAAATGCTTTAAATATTGTGTATACTGTATATAATCCTGTTACATCTACACCTCTCCCTCTGTCTTTGTAATTTCCAGGAAAATGTAACTAACCTGCTTTTTAAAAAAATAAAACAAAAGAAAACAAAAATAACTATCAAACAAACACATGTTTGAAAGTCACCTGTAATCCAACTGCCTTCAAATACTTAGTACTGAGACCCACCCTTTGCTCCTGACCCCTGAAATAGCAGCTTCTCAGGAACTCAAACGCTACACTTCACACTTTTCTCATATTAACACTTGACTGACTTGCTTTCCCACTAGCACAGAATCAAAGAAATGTCCTTTCATGAACGAATCTTTGCGTGGCTTTCAGTGTATCCAGTGAGGGTATTTACTAAATAAATTATAATTCCATGTAAAAAACACAGGAGACTTGACCATCTTCCACTAATACAGATTTGAAGAGACATTAGAAAATCTCATATGACAAAAGATAACAGAAATAGGAACTCTGGGCAAAAACTTCCCATTAATCGCTCCAAAAAAAACCCACCACTCAACAAAACACATGGAGGGTGAACATAAGCTGCTGCATTTGAACTTCAAGTGCCCTTGCCTGGTTTCAGACCATCTTCATCACACAAAAACTTACCAATATTAACTACCTGTTTTAACATAACCCCAGCTGTACTAAGACAGCGTCTGCCTCAAAGATGAGACAGCTGAGGAGAAAGAAAGAGCACGGTCGGGTGATGTCCTTTGCCAGGAGGCAATTTAAGACATTTAAAAGGCAACAGCAGCAATTGTAATGACACTACATGTGCACTTTAATCCAGCACTTCACAGACGGTGTAATACCAGAAGGACTAGTAGTACAGCTACTGCAATAAAAAGCCCCAATGCCAAAGCATAAAAGAAGAAATACTCCTCTGTATCTGATTAATACACAGTCTTTGCTTGCTTTCTTTTCTCCCCTACCTAGGAAACGAGTACTGGGTTTATTCAGCCAGTAACCTGGAGAGGGGCTATCCAAAGAAACTCACCAACCTGGGACTACCCCCTGATGTGCAACGTGTTGATGCAGCTTTTAACTGGGGCAGGAACAAGAGGACATACATTTTTGCTGGAGACAGATACTGGAAGTAAGATGCATTGATGGGGTGGTGGGATGCTGTCAGCTGAGCTCTGTCTCTAGAGTTGAATGCACTCTGAGTTTCAGCAGGCAGGAACCAAACATGGGGGTTTCATCTTTCAAGAATACAAAATCCATGCTGACAGCAGCGGTGAGCAAGGATGCTGAACCAGGGAGTATGGATTCGGGACAGCAGCAGCAGGAAACTAGCACCTATTTGAGAAAACAGCTCGCAAGGGAAAAGGATTTCTGGGAGTCTCTATTAGGCTGCTCACCACTAACAACCCATCCCTCAACCCCCAGGTACCAGCCACTGCCCCACATCAGTCTCAGGCTTTTAAGAGGGGCAAGCTGTCCCTGCTGTCAGCTCACAGCTGCTGGGAGAAAACTCTAAAAGGAAGTCCTTAAAAACGGGCTGATCTCCAATTGCTTGAAGCCAAAGGCCGAACAGATTGCCTTTGAAATTCTTTCACTAAGCCATCAGGTTTGGAGGCCCTGAATGTGAAAGGCAGAGCAGTGTGACCAGCACAGCAAGATGGGGATGGCTGCAGAACCTTTCAGCAGCTGATGTACCAGTCACTAACACATGTGCCCTACTAACAGAGTTGGCACTGAGGAGATCTGAACAGACCACCAGAAGTGTAGCTGTTAGCACGTTGGGAAAAATCTTAGCTTCAATTCCTTTTGACAGTCTCTACAATCCTTTTTCCTGTTTCCAGTACGTGCTCAGAGAAGATTTTGGTGCAAAGAACACCAACAAATGTGGTACTCCACTAAATGCATGCAACTCTGTATTTGCACTCAGGTTCTGTTCAAAAGACTGCAGAGAAGCAAAATATGATGCAACATAAGCAACCAAACTGAGGTGTCTCGCTATCACAATCTGTCCAGGAAAGATCTTGGACTATTAGATTAGGAAGAAATGTCCTTAAAATGTCTCACGGCTATTACTGTGGTAGAAATAAATATCCTACATTGCATCTGATGAAAAATCTGCTACTTGTATTTAATAGAAAGCCATTATCATAACTGGCAGGAAGATCTGGCACAAAAGATAATCTTAAAAAGCAGACGTGCTTTGGTGCTTTGAGGCACTTGGTGAGTTACCTCCGAGCTGCCTGTCAGAATGGCAGGAGAACAAAGCAGAGACACTGACTCCTGCTTTCACCATCAGAGGGCTCTTCCAGGAAGAGGACTTGAAGTCAGGAATGCAGACATTAAACAACAGGCTGAAAGCTGAACCATTCATTAACTGACAATTTAGAGGAAAGTTAAACATCAGAAACAATCACCAGAAATCTAAAAGATTCTCCAAGCTCCATAATTGAGTCCATTTTATGTGAACATTAATTTAATGTTATGATCAAACCGTATGAGTGTCTTTTTTATATCCTAATGGCTGTGGATTCCTGTAAGTAAATAAAATACCCTTTCACAATTGCCACTTGATCATAACTTTCTTTCAATTACTCTGAGGACAATACTCTTCTCCATTATCTGGGTGAAAAAAAAAAAAAAAAAGAACTTAAAAACTAAAGAATGCTATTAATTTTTTAATGTCATCTTGTAGAGACTGTCTTAAACATTTGCAAGGAGCTCCAATACAGCCATCTGCAATACTTCGGATCCCTACCAAACCCTGTAGACTATGAGTTAGCAAAAAGCTGCTTCTCTCCTCTGTACCAATGACTGTTTTGATTAACTGTACTCCAGGGCCTCCAAGTAATTCATCACTCTAATCACAGACAGGATTTCTATCAAAGCACCTTATCAATTGCGGTCACCGCAGAATGCATAATTTATTCTTAAGGAATCAAAATAAGCTTAAGTGATTTCTGTCTGTGTAAAGAAGGAAGCAAACAGTTGACAAATATTTCAGAAAAAAAATGCATCTCTGTCTAACACAGATACTGTAACCCTTAAGTATGTGGCTGTTTTATTTTAGACAAGGACTCTGCCACATGGAATCAAAATAGTTACATACCATAGGCCTTCCTGTGCCATTATCACACTTACTTTAAATGGATTTTTTGGAAGCCTTCTCCGCTCCCTCCTTCCAGCCCCAAGCTATTTTAGTGTTGCTAAAACAATATTGTTAAGCAAAGCAAAGTTCTGTGAAGGAGAGGAAGAGGAGGCGGCTCAGATTCCACAGCTGAACTTTTAAAGCTGTGGTACTAGATTTTCTTTAAATATCCGAGGGGAAAAAAAAATAAGTAATTTAAATTAATCATTATAATTGATTTTGACAATTTGTACTGGTGTAACTTCGGATATAATCCAAGTAGTTCCATATAGCAGTGGGGGAAAGGTAACCTGAGACGTATAGATATGGAGAAATAGAATCAAGAACAGAAATGCTTTCCTCCCCCCAGTACTAGTCACAGGTGACCTCCTTGCAGCCCAGGGCTCCTGCAGGGGTGCTGCTGGGGGGACCCAGGCCTCACATGCTTCCGAAGCCTGGTTCAAAGTGTCTCCCATGTCACTGCTCCCCAGGACACCTCCGCTCCTCCTGCTCAGCACTGACTCCCATCTAGAAATCAGAAAAATGGGGAAACGAGGCTGCATCTCGCTCCTTCCACCTCTGCTCTCAAGGACCTTGCATCCCTGGGGCATTTATTCCCTATATATGGAAAGGAAGATCCTGGATTATTGTTTGTGGGAGACTAAAAGTGGCTTAGCACAAATCTGTCTTTGCATAGCACAGCGGGAAGAGGAAAGGAGACAAGTGATGAGCTGCAGTGAGGGACACAGCCAGACCCCCTCCCAGCTGAAGGACACTAAAAACTAGATCTGACTCCCACGGAGTTTGGGGGGGTTACAGCAGCTCAGGTTTTCCTCTTTAAAGCACAGGCTGTGAAAGCCATTGGGGTTTGGGGGTTTTTTTCTCCCTCCAAAGAAAAGCATGTATTTTTAACTTGGCATTTATCGGCTGATCACCGCTGAGTGAGAGACAGGATTGTGTGAAAAATAATAGGATTTTTTAATTAAACGCTAGGGAAAGTAATAAGTAATTTAATAGCAATCCACCAATTATATGGACTACAAGCATATTTCAGATTTTTAAAAGATAGTCATTCCACATTAAAATCTCCTATCTTCAGGTGCTAGCTGCTGCCTGAAAAAAAGTTACCTTTCCTAGAATTATGTTTGGAATTTTAAAGCCACATTTCTGAAAAGTGTTTTGCTTGGAAAGTGCATTTTTAATTCTGCAAGACTTGTATTTCCAAAAGGAAAAATGTAAAATTTCACACAGTTTTAATGGACTCGGGGAATAATTATAATGACAATGTCACAATGTCATTTATTATATTTCTGTTTGATTGGTTTATGTACTCACGTTTGCTGAAGACTCCCTGAAAAATCACATCAAACTTTAACATGAAATATAGATTTGTAATGCAGGGATATAACTTTCTTCAGGTACAATGAAGAAAAGAAGAAAATGGAGCTTGCATCCCCTAAATTCATTGCTGACTCTTGGAATGGAGTTCCAGATAACCTGGATGCTGTCCTGGGTCTTGGTGACAGTGGTAAGCTGCAGTTCTGGCCTAAATCACTCAAAAGGTCTCTTATTTGTCTGCTGGGAAACTTACTGGAGACTTTAATTTCTTGTGGTCCATGAGAAGCCAAATTCCCATTCAGCTTTGCAAACTACTGGTTCAAACAAACCTTTCGTCTATTTTTTCTTTAAATATTATTGATAAATACCCTACTAATCACAGTTTAAACTTTCTAAAATGCAACATTTAGCAGATATGACCTCTCCTGAATATTTTTACCCAAGCAAATAATAATAGTTACGCTGATTTCCCTTTTCACGAAGCTTGTTCAATTTCAATCTCTATCTACTCTTTATCATTTCCTTATTTGAAGCTGAACACTTTGCAAAGCTTAACAAGGCAAGAAACAGCTTTTATTAGAATCTTCCCCCTTTTTTCCTTGCCTTTTTTTTTTTTTTTTTAAATTAGGTCTGTGGAGCTTTCTGGTGTAGTCTAGTGTTTCTAGTGTCTTTCTAGTGTAGTCTGAGACATACTGAGAAGCGACTCCTGCCACCCAATGCCTGATGCACAGGAGAAGGCTTGGTTGGGCCAGTGCCTGGGGCTTGGAAATTCCCCAACTTCTTGACAGCTCCACAGATTCCTCGGTATCAGAATGGGGCCACAGCATCATTTCTGCTCTAGCACAGCCAGAACTTGAGTACGATAATCTTTCTGATCACAGGCACAAACAGGTTGTATTTTGCCCTTTTATTTAACCTCCTATCAACTGCAGCTGAAGGCCTGGCCCATAGTTTTAAGCTCATATTTTGCACAGATACGCATAAATGTCTGGAAGCGCCACTGATATCACATGAGTCGTGACTCGATTACATTTTCAACATCTATTTTGCCAGCAAATATTTCTTCCCAGAAAATTCTGGCTCACAAATGGTAACCTGACTTCAGGCTCCATTTAACAAGACCTCTCTTCTCCAGGATAGGATTTTTTATGTATTTTTAAAATAAATCTTTTTTCATTGAGTATGAATATCTCAGAAAGTGAGTCTTCCAGTTCATTAAGCTTTATGAAATCAAACAGATAAAAAAAGCTTTGCTTGAGAATGACATGCTCCATAATCTGAGTATGCTTTTTTATTTACCTTCACAGGATACACCTACTTTTTCAAAGATCAATACTATCTACAAATGGAAGACAAGAGTTTGAAGATTGTTAAAATTGGCAAGATAAATTCTGACTGGTTGGGTTGTTGAACTGTATGAGATATTAATAACCAAATATTTACTTTTTTGTTATATGCCTTATCTGTAATTAGAAATAGATCTGAATGCTAATTACTGGACCAGTCTGGTACTGGCACCAAAACATTAAGTACCAGTACTGTACACATCAGATAATTTAAGAGTGTTTGCCTCCTCAGTACACAAAAGATGTTTACGTATATATTCTGGTACAAGTTTTCAGTTTTCATGCTAGTCATAGTAATAGAACATCCATCATTCTTTATTCCCCTGGTGCTTAAACAAAGCATTGAAACCATTGGAGACTGGATCACACCCCTGTGTTATACACATCCCAAATAGGCTCAAATGAGATGTACCAGCAGTGCACTTTGATTTATTTTTTTTTTATTTTTAAATACAACTCTGTTATAAATAGATGATTTGTCTTGCGTTTTTCACCCTTTTGCGAGTTTGATCATTACATCCATTTATTTACATATTTACAGAAAGACTGTCAAAGGCACGGGTTGCCTCAGGATTTGATTTGTGTTAATGCATGATGGAATCATGGCAAGAAACTGTGTTAAAAGTATTGTTTTAAAGTACTTTTTATTTTAATACCTTAGTTAAATTTAGCAATTTGCTTCATGCACTTTGTTACTACTATACAACTTGTTTATATGGATGGAATGACTCAGATTTTTGAAGTCAACGCGTTATACATAAAAGTCAAGTATAATTGTTTAACTTGTTTTATTTTTCAGTTCTTTATAATATTGGGGGTTTGTTCGGTTAGATTTTTGGTTATCTATTGAGCAACAGAGATTATTCTTTTCACAATCTGATGGAATGTTTCCCATTAAAAAAATAAACCAGAAAAGAATGTCCCACACATGAAGTGCCAACAATACAAATAAAATCAAATTACACTGTCAACACTTCTCATGGCCAGGCTTCCTTCTATCATTTGAAATTAGAAATCCAGTAGCATGTTACAGTCAAATACCTGCCACAGGAAAGACAATATTACCCCGTATATAATTGCATTCTGGATCGATTTAGAAGTCTAGCTTACTTTCTCTGTCAGCTGTAAGATGTGACTGCAGCAATTTACATTAAGGAGCTGATATGGTCCCATGCATCCCCAAAGCCCACGGCCTTCTCACAACAGTTTACATGCCTCTCTGTTTTCCACCCTCCTCCTCCTCCTCATCCCAACCCAGACAGGAAGAGTCAGCACAGACACAGCAGTATATTTATCCTGTAGGGAATGTACAGTTGAGAAATAGAGATGTAAAACCTTCCCCCTCTCCTTGAGATCAGACCATTTGGCCAAGGATCTTACCCAGCTCCATTAAGGTGAGATTCTTTATGAGAATCTCATAAAGAGAGTTCTTATATGAGAATCTCTTTATGCATCATGTGAGTGGTCAGCCCAGATCCTTCTCAGTACATCTCTCCCATTGAGTTCCCAACTCACAGAACTGGCTAGAGACCAACTAACACCTGGAACAATGATTGACGGGTTTCTTCTCATATTCTCAACAACTTCAAGCTTCCACTCAGAGCTTTCTTGTTCTAGGCAGAGGTTTTTACTGGTATTCTGAAAAGATACCTCTTCTGAAGTGGCTGCGTTTGCTAACTGAATTTCCATTGCACACCATCCAGATACAACTCCCACTTTGGGAAGCTTTTCATTACTACGGACAATTCTCACCTGGATGAGCCAGTGCTATTTTCACCTATGCCAAAAGAAAAGATGACTCTCTCCTTCTGAGCACTCTCATTCTCTTCAGAAATCACTAATCACCTTCCCAAATAGTCCTGCATCAGAGTCAAAAAAATAAGGTACATAACAAAGTAGTTGTAATTGCAAAATGTTAGGGTTCTAGTTTTTACAGACACCTGGCAACCTTCTCAGGATTGCAGGATCTATTGAGCCATTGCAGCGATGTATGGTCTGTCCTGACCACAAACATCTTCCTATACTAGTGTTGAAAATATTCTGTAGTTTTAATGACTGCCAGGAACTCCTTTTGAGTGTTGCAAGAATTTCTCCCTGGAGATTTTAAGCTCTTACTGTTTTAAGCATCCTCAATAGCCATCCTGTCAAGATTTTTATGTTCTTGTGCCAATATTGCCCCAAACTGCATGCTCCAGCATCTGTATTTAATATGAAGAAGGGGTTTGAAACATAGATATACTAGAGGAACATTTGCAATCGACCTTTTCAGCACTGAACTTGCTAAATCACATTTCTACTGATGACTGAAATAGTTTCCTTTTTGTCTACAACTTACGTATATGTTTTGCAACATTGGCAAATCTACCAGTGTACCTTCTGTAATAATAACACCATAATCCTACAAAGCTCCACACATCTGGTGGGTTTAAGGAGTTCTGCTCAGCTTCTTGTCTTGTTCTTGCCTGTTTAAATCCCTTCTCCAATGACTACATTACTGGCAGAAAAACAGAAATAAATTTTCTATCCTTAAACCGACTCGCCCTTCTTTGAGTTCAGTTTCAGACTGGCAACTGTAAGCTTATCACAGGTCAACTGTTACAGTGCATGAGCAGAAACAGATGTGTTTACATTTGCCAGGTTATCACCTACATGTATCAGACAAGCTGGAGGAGTACATTAACCCTTCTCGTTAACCTTTCGCATTTGACCTATGAAATGCCAAAAGTCATAAAATGTGTCCTGAAAAAGTCTTCAGGTCTAATTCCACTTGCTGGCAGCCACTTTCAGATCTCACTGTTGGAATCCAGAAATAACCTGCTTCACCTCCAGGATATCACCTAGTCATTATATGATCCTTTGCTTTTCCCTATGGCCAAAACTCAAGAAATTGTACATTCCCTCAATGATTTTGTGTCTGTTCTTTCCTGTTTGTAATGGATTAACCAGGAGATGGAAAGTCCTTGCCTGAGCATCATTGCAGCTCTGCCTTTACCTGGCCATGTCCCGTGCCAATGTGTCCCACTGACTTGCTTCCCTGTTTGACTTTCCATCTGCCCCACCACTATGGGGTTTTCTGGTGACCCCTGGACTCTTGGCTGAACCAGATTACCCTCCCCAGGCCTGCTCTTTTCACCTTCTCGGGCCCATGAGACTGTGCCCGTGGCAGTGAAGCCACTGCCCTTGCCTTTCCTCCCCTCAACATGTTTCTCCTAAGACGTCCTCAGAACTCAATGAAGATTTTTACCTTCTTTACAAAGGAAGAAACAGGCAGCCAAAAGCACAAGCATTTATCTCAAAGCCATATAAAACCCAGGACAAAACTCTATCAAACCCTCACCTAACTTGTTCTATAGTTTTACTAAAATCAAGTCAGGTTAACTTAGGACTTTTTGGTGCTGGGATAGGGTTGCCCACACGCTGCACGTGGGCTTGTTGCAACATGGAAAGAGCTCAGACACTCTTGCTCCAGGAGTTGAAGGGAATTTTCTCTCAGTTAGGAGCAGGAGAGGCTGTACCCACCCCGTGGGGCAGTTCCAGTCCAATGGAGTAAAGGGCAGTGGTTTAGTAACCACTCTGTCACAATACATGAAAGGCAGCCAAGTTGATAATGAAATACTACAGTTCAAATACTTAATAGACACAGCAGCCTAAACTGTGAATCATGCTTAACAGTTTGTGCCTCGCTAACACTCTGTAGTTGTTAGAAATACATTTTCTTCATGCTATTTTCTCATGATTTTACAAAGCAGCAGTTATCCATAAATTTAAGCAATTGACTATAACTGTGCTGTTCTTTAAATCAGGAGGTAGTATGTCCTTTGGGCCCATTTTGGACAAATTATTTCTATTTGCAAACCCAGACATGCATGCTTTTAGCAGCAGAGACCAGGTGAATGAACATTCCTCTGCTTTTGGAAGAGATGAAGCCAACAAATGAGCAGGCACTGGGCTCTGTGGGATCGCTGCAAATGCAGAGATTGATACCTGCAAGGGGAAGCAGGCTGTTCCAGGCCGGTGATGTAAAATGCTCTTAAGTACTAAGGTATTTCAGTAGGGAACTGTAGAAAGGACAAAACCACAAAACTGGAACAAACCCCCGCAAAACAACAAGAAAACCAACAACTCTGAGACTGTCAGAGAAATAGCAGAGTCAGGCAGAACTGGAGGTGTTTCAAAAGCTGCCGGCAAGGTTTCTGCACACCGAGCTTGTCAGAGTCACACACTATTCCTTGAAATACATTGCCTTCTGAACTGCCTTTCAGAACAGAAGTGACAGCAAAATAGCATCTTAGGGTAAATTGTCCAGTTCTGAGATTTACACTTGCTCACAAAGAGCCATGATTTCACACACAACTACCCAGGCAGCTGGGTGCACGTGGCTTCTCCCCACCCCGACAGCAATAGCAAGTCTTTACCTGCAGAAATAAATGGGCTCAGATTTTCCAGATGTATGATACTCAGTATAAACAAGACAATTCAACAACATTCATTCATTCTCATCATTACATTAAAAATGTTTTATTATAAAATCTCCAATTGCTCTTTTCTTAATTGAGACAAACATCAAGAACCCTGTTACTATCTCAGAACTCTTTAATCTAAAGATATGACATGAATCATTGCTTAGAAAATAACAGCATCTGAAAGAAAATGCACACCTTATTAGTAGTAAAAACAATAAATCTGTGTACCAGGTTACCAAAGGAAGTGAGAGGTGCTTTTTTTGGTGTGTTTTTGTGATTGTTTGTTCTGGAGGGGTTTATGTCTTCAGATCAAGAGTTCCTGCCTTTTTGGAGAACATCTTTCACTCAGGCATTATTTCTGGTATTAATACAGCATATTTGGGGAAAAAAATCCTGGCCTGGACCTAGTGGGGATTGGACTAAGTGAACCAATGGCTTCTTTTAGCCTTAGACTGCCTTAGGCTATGAAATTAATTTATATAATTTTAAGAATTATATACAATAGCTTTTTTAAAATCTGTATTAAGTAGATACCTGCATGTGTACACATGTATACATACACAAATAAATAGCTTATGGCTATATTACAATATATTATTTCATATTAAGGATTTATGTCTGGATATTTCAGTTCAGGGCACTTGCAAGAATCACCTGTCCAACTGCCTGAATGCTAATCAACCTTAACCTGCTTAGGAAGTCACACCAGTTTTGCCCTTCTCCATAAAATACTCCACGTTCTGAACAAAGGTCAATGCAATGAGATAAAAGTACAAGTGTTCAGTCTGCACAGGTGTTCTTCCTTGGTAGCACTGGTGAGATAACAGTCAACAATTTCAAAATAAACAGTAGCTTATAGGTTTTATTGCTCAAACGGTAAGTAATTTCTCCAGAGCTGCAGGAGCTGAATGAGTCCTGCCTAACCAACTTGATCTCTTTCTATGACCATGTGACCCGCTTTCTCGATGAGGGGAATGCTGTGGATGTTGTCTCCCTGGACTTTGGTAAGGCCTTTGACACTGTCCCCCACGGCGTTCTCCTGGAGAAACTAGTGAATCATGGCATAGACAAGTGTACCCTCCGCTGGATAAAAGACTGGCTGGATGGCCCTGCTCAGAGAGTTGTGATTAATGGAGCTAGATCTGGTTGGCGGCCAGTCACCAGTGGTGTCCCTCAGGGCTCAGTTCTGGGGCCAATCTTGTTTAATATAGTTATCAGTGATCTGGATGAAGGGGATTGAGTGCACCCTCAGTAAGTTTGCAGATGACACCAAACTAGGTGGGAGTGTTGGTCTGCTTGAGGGTCGGAAGGCTCTACAGAGGGACCTGGACAGGTTGGATCAATGGGCCAAGGACAACGGGATGAGGTTTAATAAGGCCCAGTGCTGGGTCCTGCATTTTGGTCACAACAACCCCAGGCAACGCTACAGGCTGGGGGCAGAGTGGCTGGAGCTGCCCGGAAGAAAAGGACCTGGGGGTGTTGGTAGACAGCCAGCTGAACATGAGCCAGCAGTGTGCCCAGGTGGCCAAGCTGGTGAGGGGTCTGGAGAACAAGTCCTATGAGGAGAGGCTGAGGGAACTGGGCATGTTTAGTTTGGAGAAGAGGAGGCTGAGGGGAGACCTCATTGCCCTCTACAACTACCTGAAAGGAGGTTGTAGAGAGGCAGGTGTTGGCCTCTTCTCCCAAAGGACAAACGACAAGACCAGAGGAAATGGTCTGAAGTTGGGGCAAGGGAGATTTAGATTAGATATTAGAAAGAACTACTTTACTGAGAGAGTGGTCAGGCACTGGAACAGCCTGCCCAGGGAGGTGGTGGAGTCACCATCCCTGGAGGGATTTAAGAAGCCTGTAGACGTGGCACTTCAGGGCGTGCTCTAGTGCCCAAGATTGGGGGGGGCTTTTGTGTGTGTATGGTTGGGCTTGGTGGCCTCA